GGGGGGGGGGAAAGCAGAGTTTTGCAAAAAAAGAAAAACTTCTCGAAAGGAAAAGAGGGCTCTTTATGGGAAGACAGAAGGGCTGTCCTTCTTGATGAGACCTGGGCATTTTTTAATGGACGTAATTGATAAAGTTAATGCTCCAAGTTGGCTTGGAGAAAATGGGGGGGGAGAGCCCCCGGTGAGGTCAGTTGGAAATTTGAAATCAAATGTAAATAAGTGTACCAATAAAGAAGAATATCTGTAGCTCAGGGCTGGGAGGTAAGTGTAATATAGATAATGGTTGCTTATAGGGGTGCGGCCTGGGCACTCCCCTTATGCTGCGTTCATGGGTTTGATAGGGATGAGAGGTGAGAAAGTGTAGAGAGGACGTAGGGCAGTGAGAGGAGAGGGGGAGGGGAAGAGATAGGATGGGAGGTGAGAAAGAGGAGGGAAGTAGGGAATGTTTTAAGAGAGGGTGGACGCGGCCTGGGGGGAGTGGGCAGGTCGTACCAATGGTTATGAATTTACCTTATTTCAAAATTGTGTTGTATTTTTTCTTTTTTATATAATGTTTACATGGAAAAAATAAAAAACTTTTAATAAAAAAAATAAAATAAAGAAGAATATCTGTAGCTCAAGGCTGAAACGAGGGGTGCTCTCCGAGCTTGGGGGTTTTCTTGCAGACGTTTCATGACCCAACTAGGGAACATGAACAGTATTAGAAGGGGAGGTTGCAGGGAGGAGGAGGACTGTGGGGTTCTTGGTGCTCTCTGAGCTTGGGGATTTTCTTGCAGATGTTTCATGACCCAACAAGGGAACATTATCAGTGCTAGAAGGAAATCTGAGTTGCCTGTCCCCCACTTTTCAGACAGGATGAAATTCTAGCTGCACACGTCCCTTCCCAGATCAGATAGCTCGCTCTCTCTCTCTCTCTCTCTCTCTCTCTCTCTCTCTCTCTCTCTCACACACACACACACACACACGCCCCATAAGCATGTGATCAAAATTCAGACGCTTGGCAACTGACTTGTACTTATGACGGTGCAGCCTCCCAGGGTTAATGGGATCACCTTCTGAGAAGCAACGTCAAGAGGGGCAAGCCAGATTACTTAACAACAGTGTTACTGACCCAATCCTTGCAGTGGTTCCCTTAACCAGGATGGCTGGAAAGTCCGCAAAACTCACTTAACTCACTGTCTCGCTTAGAAACAGAAAAGTTGGGGTCATTAAGTTGAAAACTACCCTACACTGGTTTGATGGCCATACCAGGTGAAAGGGCGTCAGAATAAAATACATAAATCGTGAAAACTTCCTGTTATTCTTAGCTTCTCTCCCCAGCCTCACAAAGGGACAATGATGGACTGGCTCTCTTTCCTAGATGAATGATCGCCATGGCAACAGCATCCCTCACCTTCTGGTCGTCTCAGCTCAGTGGAAACGCTGCAGTGACTTGTGCTGAGACTGCAAAACACGGACTTTTCGGCCGCCCAGGCTAAACATACGGAAATGGGCCGGAAACTGCCGTGGTCAGCAAGTTTGCACCCGTTGTTGAGAAAGAGAGAGAGAGACAAGAACATACATGCTTGACCAATGCGTGGCCATCACATGTAATGGAGCTAAGAGGCCCCTGCAGCGGTCATCCCTGCCAGCATCCCTTCCCTCTAAGACCAAAGAGAAAGGGGCTCTCTAAATTGATTGTGGATTTTTAAAAATTATTATTTCCTTTACTTATACATATCTCACAGCAGCATATATATCTAACACACCTTCCTCCTCCTCCTTCTCTTCCTCCACCATCACACAACAATTGAGGTTTCCCTGAATGGTGCTTTTCCTTGGAATTACATGGTAATAATAATAATAATAATAAGCACCACTTGAACACCATTGGCATTGACAAATTCACTATTAGTCAATTGCAAAAGGCGGCCTTATTAGGAACTGCTTCCATCCTGCGATGATATCTGTAATACCATCAAACATCCACATCTGCCTATCCCAGGTCCTGGGTAAGGACTCGATAGGTAGACAAAATGCCAAATCCAGTCTGAACATCTGGCTGACTGTGCGATGATCGATAATAATAATAATCAACAATGGTGCATTGGAAGATCTGCAAAAATATCATTTGCCTGTAAGCAAAAACTGGTGGGATCATAAAATAGAGAAAGTCATAGAAAATGATAAAATTAAACTGCTCTGGGACTTCAGAATTCAAACAGACAAGCACCTGCAACATAACACCCCAGACTTAACAATTGTCGATAAGAAAGACAAAAAAGTCTGGATAGTGGACGTGGCAGTGCCTGGAGACACAGAATAGACGAGAAAGAACTGGAGAAGATAACAAAATACAAAGACCTACAAATAGAAATAGAAAGACTGTGGCAAAAGCAAGCAAGGGTAGTATCAATAGTAATAGGCTCCTTGGGTGCAATCCCAAAACAACTGGAGCACCACTTGAACACCATTGGCATTGACAAATTTGCTATTAGTCAATTGCAAAAGGCGGCCTTATAGGAACTGCTTCCATCCTGCGACAATATCTGTAATACCATCAAACATCCACATCTGCCTATCCCAGATCCTGGGTAAGGACTCGATAGGTAGACAAAATGCCAAATCCAGTCTGAACATCTGGCTGACTATGTGATGATCTATAATAATAATAATAATAATAATAATAATAATAATAATAATAATAATAATAATAATAATAATAATAATAAAGTTGGAAGGGACCATGGAGGTCATCTAGTCCAACCCCCTGCTCAGGCAGGAAACCCTATACTATTACGGACAAATGGCTGTCCAGTCTCTTCTTAAAAACTTCCAGTGTTGGAGCATTCACCCCGTCTGGAGGCAGGTTGTTCCACTGGTTAATTGTTCTAACTGTCAGAAAATTTCTCTCTTAGTTCCAGGTTGCTTCTTTCCTTGATGAGTTTCCATCCGTTGCTTCTTGTCTTGCCTTCACGGGCTTTGGAGAATAGCTTGACTCCCTCTTCTTTGGGGCAGCCCCTGAGATACTGGAACTCTGCTATCATGTCCCCCTTCGTTATTCCAAGACATTCTCCCCAAAAGCCAGTCTCATCTTTAGAGTTATAGCAATCAAGTACTGGTTGTCCTTGACTTACAACCGTACTGATGACGGTTGCCGTGTCCCGGGGTCACGTGATCCCCCTTTGCAACCTCCTGACAAACAACGTCAATGGGGGGGGGAGAACCAGATTCACTTCACAACCGTATTCCTAATTTAAAAACTGCAGTGATTCCCTTAACAACTGCAGCAAGAAAAGTCATAAAACGGGGCAAAACTCACTTAACAAATTTCTCACCAACAACATCAATTTGGAGCTCAGTCGTGGTCGTAAATAGAGGACTAATAGTATATCAGAAACCAACCTTGATTAAGAAATAATCGGGCAGACTCAACGTACGTCCGCTCAGAAGGAAATCATTTTTATGGGGCTTTATTTCCGAGGACTAGACAGAGAAGGGAGACGCCCCAAACTGGGAAGAGAGAAAAAATCTGAGATTCAGGCATGTTTTCCCCTCCCTTTCTTGTTTTCATGTGGTTTTCAGACTGAAAGCATCTGCTTTCCTGGTGTGACTACTAAGAATTTTAATTACATTGAAATTGTGAACACTGGTTAGAATGAAATACAGTCGAAGCTATTCAGAGTCCTAAACTAAGACATTAACCCTTTTCGACAGTCCTTGTTTAAGACAGCCGCAGTATGTTAGACGCCAAAACAAGCCAGGGGCCATTTATAATGGGGCTGGGTGCTAAACTATGATTTATGCTGGATCTGAAGCAGAATGGTTCCAGCTAGAGACACCTGGATCCCACCTTTCCAAGCACTTCAAATCTTATTACAATCAGAATCCCTTTTAAGGCAACAGGTAAGTTTGGGGGTATTTCAAAAGCTGAGACTCGCAATGCAAATGTTTATCGGTTCAGTACAATACTGTTTCCTGCACCACACAACCAGTCGTTCAGTGGCTTTCCGCTGCCACCGAAATCTACAATAAAACAGCCCGATCTTTTGCCCCAGACTCAAATCAGAGAGGAAGAAGCAGGTTCAAATCCCGAAGCCAGCTCAACACGGAGCTTTTCTGATCAAACTGTTTTCTCCGGATTCAACAGAAAAACACTTTAGAGCAAGGGTGCAGTTATACACACAACAGATCACTAAACAAGTGTTGTTGTGGTGCGGTTTGTTTCATTTTTGAAGAAAATTGCAGCAAATTCATCCTGACTGCGGATTAAGCAATGGTGCCATCTAGCGGCTTGCAGCCCCAAGTGGACGGTGCAATTACACACTTTTAAATCAATGAGACTATTAAACACACACACCCAAAAAAGCTTTCAGTGAACAGATCCTTTTCCAGAGCTGAAAATAACACCCCTTCCTGGGCCAGCCTGCCATCCACACTGGCTCAGGAATTCTGGGAGTTGAAGTCCACAGGTCGTACAGTTGCCATAGCTGGCCACCCCTGCTTTAAGTCATGGGGAAACGGATGCGCAACACCCTATGCCAGGGCTTTCCAAACTTGGCAACTTTAAAAGACTTGTGGACTTCCAACTCCCAGTGTTCCCCCCAGCATGGCTGGCTGAGGGATTCTGGGAGTTGAAGTCCACAAGTCCTAAAGATGCCAACTTTGGAGACCCCATAGTACACTGACTGACAGCTGAGCCGGAGTGTAATCTCAGAACACTTTCTACAAATCCATTTAACAAAGGACCAAATGTGAAACCACCACTTGGCTGGTATTTCTTTGCATTTTGTGGTATCAAAAGACTTCCCCCCCCCCCCAAACCCATCTCCAGATGTTCCTTTCTCTCTTTTCATCAAGGTTATAGAGTCACACCACTTGCTGCCAACTGCAAAGCTAGCCTAAATGGCTTGCAAGTTAAGCTCCGTTCTGGAATCTCTAGCCGTGTCTACGTAAATTTCCCCCTGGTTGTGTCTCGATAAGTGACCGGTCGATTGTTTTAATAAACAGGCACAGCCTACCTTTCTGCAGCACGGGTTGGGACAGCTGAACCGCTTCACGTCCTTGTCCAGGAGAGCTGGGAAGTTACAAAAGGGACATCTAGAAACCAGAGGAAGAACGAGTGAGGGGAAGCTTGCATAAAGCAAGGCTTTATGGAAACGGACGGCCACTGAAATGCAGAGGGAACAGCCACCGCGGCCTCCCGTCGCAGTGCAGGTAATCCTCAACTTACAACTCGACTCTTCAAAGTTACAACAGCAAATGGAAAAAGCGACTCACGAGCAGACTTAAGAGTCCTGAGGTCGTGGGGTCGCCCTTTGCCACCTTCCCAGCCAGCTTCTGACAAGCCAAGTCACTGGGGGAAGGCAGGCCTGTTCAAGAGCTGCGTGGTTCTACTTAACGACTGCAGTGGTTTAACAACTGGGACAAAGAGGTCGTAAAATCAGGTGACCTTTCCTGTTTAGCGTGGAAATTCTGGTCCCAAACTGTGATTGTAAGTCGAGGATTACCTGGATCTCCACTGAAGCTCTTCTGGAGTCCATGATGTTAAACCAGGTTGTGTTAACTCCACCGTGCGGCTTTCCAGCAGCAGGTCACCCCAAGCCCCATTCCTGTGGCACTCAAGAGTTCCCATGTTGCAAAACCACCAAATTGTGCTTTTTTTTTTTTTAGCAAAACAGGAGCCAAATACCTGTTAAAACTCAGGTTAAACTTCTGCAAGCTTTAAGGCACCCCCTGCCTCTCCAAAACCGACACAAACCCAAATATTTTCTTCTTCTTCTTCCTCCTCCTCCTCCTCCTCCTCCTCCTCCTCCTCCTCCCACAGACCCAAATATTTTCCTCTTCTTCTCCCCCCTCCTCTCAAAAATGAGGAGACTGGCCACTAGCAGCTGGAAAAAGCTGCCTGCCCAATGCAAAGCAAGACTAAATAATATGAAATTAAAAAAGAATGCTGGGAGATTGAGGGAGGGGGGAAGAGGGAGGAAAAATACGCTCATTTGAGGTTCCTGGCCTGCAGAAAGATCACAGGATCTGCAGAAAAGGAGGACGACAAATAGAAACAGATGCGCCATCACACAGGCGGTTTACAGATGCCTCTGTGCAGACAAAGCTTTGCCAAGCTCTAAGAGGCCAGGATTTGACGTCTCTTGAGTTGCGACGTGGATTGGTGTCATCTGCTGCCACGTACAGAGCCTTGAAAGGGAGGAAGGATGCTCCTAAGTCTACCCCTGCTCCCCCCAGCCCGGGCAGTGAGCTTTACCTGACCAGCTCATCCGCGCAAGCAGCCGCCACCTCCTCCTCGCCTTTCCTCTCGTAGTATTTGCAGAGGATGTTTTCAGGAAGCACTTTCTCCAGTTCACTGGTGGGGAACGAACACGTGCAGCTCCCTTCCATGCAGCTGAGCTCTGACTGGGTTCGGAGAAAAAGGAGGACGAAGAGGGAGGACATGAAGGTTACAGGCCCAGAGTGAGGGATGTGCATGGGTGGTGGTGCAGTGGCTAGAATGCAGCATTGCAGGTGGGAAAAAAAAAGAAGTGTAAAAAAACGATAAAATAGGCAGGAAGAAAGCTGGGGTGAAAACCTGCTGGTTTGGGGAGCTGTGTGCAAGGGGCGTCCTTTTGCGTGAGTCACAAGAGTTGCAATAAAGGAGAATCGCTACAGCTCAGGATTGAATTGTGGGGTCCGTGGTGCTCTCCGAGCTTGGTAGTTTTCTTGCAGACGTTTTGTGGCCCAACTAGGTAACGTCATCAGTGCTGGTCTGATGATCACTAGCACTGATGAGGTTACCTAGTTTGGGTCATGAAACGTCTGCAAGAAACAACCAAGCTCGGAGAGCACCAAGGATCCAGTCTTCCTCCTTCCCTTCACTTTCCTCTTCCTTCTCTTTGCAAAACCCCCTCTCTTCTAGCACTGATGATGTTACCTAGTTTGGGTCATGAAACGATCAAGCTCAGAGGAGCACCGAGGACCCCACAGTCCTCCTCCCTCTCCTTCTCCTCCACTGCCTTCTAGCACTGATGACGTTCCCTAGCTGGGTAATGAAACGTCTGCAAGAAAGCAACCAAGCTCAGAGAGCACGGAGGACGCCTCAAGTCAGAGTCCCAACTGCTTTGGGTCTACCGTAAAGAAAGGGCGCTCACCTTTCCAGAGCCAAAGACGGCCTCCTGAGCATATTTTATTAAGCATTCCTTGCAGAACAGGTGTCCATCTGCACACTGGGTCAGCTCTTCAAACGCAAATTCCCCGTAGCAGCAGCGGCATTCGATCAGCTGGCCATCCTGAAAAATCAGACCCCAAAGTTGAGTTCTTATTACTGCTTTGGCCCTTGCTTTGCCTAGGGGAGACTCGGTTCCCTTGCATGAAACTGAAACTTAGAAGGGACACCTCAGGCATTATCAAGCCTGACCTGCTTCAAAGACTCCTTTTGCCACATGGAACAAAGGTTTTACAGGCCCAGTTTTGAAGAACAGAGCCATTCCACAAGCCACAGGTGGGTTTTTGCGCTTAAAAGGTGAAACAGGACCAAGTTAACCACGAACAGGAACAGATCAACCTTGTTAACCCCAGTACAGGTAGTCCTTGACTTAGGACCACAACTTTCAAGGGAAAATTTGCCGGTTTTTAAGTGAGGCATTACACAACCGTACCTGGGTTTACGTCCTTTTTTTTTCCGCAAAGAGGTCATTAAGCAAATCGCCGTACTTGTTAAATGACGCACTGTGTGATCCCCATTTGCAATCTTTTTTGCTGGCTTCCCCAAGGAAGCTTGTTGGAAAACAGGTGAGAAAGCCGCAAATGCTGCAGCCGTCAAAAAATCATGTGGGTTGCAAGGGTTCAAATTGTGACCTTGTGGACTTTTTGACGGTCATAAATGCCATCACAGCTTGACGTAGCCAGCTTTTTAAAAAAAAAAAAAAATAAAAAGATCAATAAAATCTGTCACAGATGTCTTTCAGCTACTTACTTTTTGATACTGCTCTTCATTCATCTGCAGGGCAAGAAGAAAATCTGCATGCTGGCGAGAGAGAAAGGACACACTTAGCATTAATAATAGTGAAAACAGAGCATCTACCTTTATTATTAGTGCTGGGAAATCTCTTATGTACTGTTTGCTTTTTAATCTTTGATTGGGATTTGCAGAGAGTTGGCCGAAAGATGGGTGGCGATACACATGGTTTAAATAAATAAGAATTAAACAAGAAATGGGTGAAAATTCTGGCAGGTCCAATTCTGAATCTGCCTCTGAATCTAGAGAACGAGAACTTGGATTTTGGTTCCAGGTTTAGACGTTCCATTGGTTTTTCATTGTTATGTTGAGAATGGTAAACCATCCAGTGTCACTTGGCTGAGATGGGCAGCTAGAGAAATTGAGTGATTGATTAATTCAATGAAAGAAAAGGAAGAAAACCAACTTCCGGTATATCCCACTGAGACTACTGAGAGTATTTTTTTAAGGAGAGTTGCACCTTGTTTCCTATTTGTTCAACCTCCAGTGATCAGGCCTTTGATTTTTACCAGATCTTTACGTGCAAGGGGAGAGGACAAGCGCCCCATTCCCATCCCTCCCAGCCACGGCTGCAACTACCTCCGCCATCTCTTTGATCTTCTGTTCGTAAAACTCCCTCTCCAGCTGCACCGGGGGCAGGAGAGAGAGCTGGTCGTAATTCCTCCAGTGGCGTCGTTTGTTCTCCAAGAAAAACATGCGCTTCTCAATCTTGGTGTCACCTGGAGCGTAGTTTGAAAGCATGATGGATCGTTAAAAAAAAAGAAGCAACAAATCAAATGCTTCTCTTAATAAGATAAGATACAAGATAAGGTAACCTTCACTGCCCTTTTTTACTAGGAGCACACTGGCCCACGTGAAAAATGAAATTCCTTTTTATAAAGGGTTAAAAAAATGGAATAAAGGGCAGGAATGGAAATTGTACCATTGTTAATGTCAAACATATAAACCCAGACGTGTTGTTGACTAAACACTAAAGATTGTTACTGTAAAAAAATTAATAAAATATACATAAAAATGAAATTTTGTCGCCTGCTCTCGAAAGTGTGTATCTGCACATACATATACTTTATATAAGACACATATACACATGCTATTCACACACACACACACACACACACACACACACACACACACACATATATAGGTGTGTGGGCAGATTCATTTCACAACCATGTTGTTAACTTAACAACTGCTGTGATTCACTTCAGGGGTTGCCCCAAAGAAGAGGGAGTCAAGCTATTCTCCAAAGCACCTGAAGGCAGGACAAGAAGCAACAGATGGAAACTAATCAAGGAGAGAAGCAACCTGGAACTAAGGAAGTTTAAAACAATTAACCAGTGGAACTCCTTGCCTCCAGAAGCTGTGAATCTCCAACACTGGAGGTTTTTAAGAAGAGACTGGACAGCCATTTGTCTGAAATGGTATAGGGTTTTCTTCCTGAGCAGGGGGCTGGACTAGAAGACCTCCAAGGTCCCTTCCAGCTCTATTCTATTCTAACTTAACAACAGTGGAAAGAAAAGTCGTAAAATGGAGCAAAACTCAACTTGACAAATTTCTCGCTTAACAACATAATAAATTCAGGGCTCCACTGTGGTCACAAGTTGAGGCCTGTCTGTTTTTCATTAGGGTTTTGAAGCAACATCCAGTGCAAAGAAATGTTTGGAGGGAAAAATGCCAAGGAAGGTAATCTGGGACCCTTTGGTGGGTCTGTAGAGCCCACCTTAAGATTCACCAGATCTTTCTCAGACCTTCATGCTGAAGCACACTGAGGTGGAGACGCATCTCTTTGGGCTAAAATTGCCTCTTTATTTTTTATATTCTTCCACCAGCAGTTCGACCCATCTCTGCAGAGTCACCAACAGAGCAAACTCCAGCCAAAAAGGGCTTACCCTGCTCGAATTTGAAGTCTATGTAAGAATACTGGTTCATTTCTTTCCTCCTTTTTCGCTTCCCGCTGGCTTCCGGAGACAACTCTTGCCATTTTTTGATGGCGTCAGAGAAGGCCTGAAAAAAAAGAGGGAGGAGGGGAAAAAAAGGCATAAACCGAGATGTGAAGATGGAAGCACGGATGTAATTAAAGCTTCCGCAGCTATCCGGATTGGGGAGGATTAAGTTTGCATGCTCCTCTGAAAGGCACAGAGGCCTCGGGGTGGATCGTGCAGCGCCCCCCCCCCGTCCCTCACCCCAAATCCAGGTGCAGCTGGGTCTTTGAAGGGCTGTAACCCAAGTGTCACTTTTACAGGGGCAGAAGAAAATTATTATCCCTACAACTGGAGAATAAATCATCTCAAGATGGAGCTTGCAGGCATGGCTAAATTAACATCTTTGATCAGAGGGAAAAAAACAACAGGATCTACATTTATATTTTACAGTTATTTACATTTATTTATTTACTGGACAACCCTTATAGATCTTGTCCATGAAATGGGAAAACAAAAATTTTGGGCTCAACTGTGGTTGTAAATCGAGGACTCCCTGGATCAGAGGACTTTGAACTCCGGGTTCCTAAGGGATTGCTTTCTGAGCCCGGGCTGCGTGTCTCCCGTTTTGGACATAAAAGGAGGATCTTCTCGGAAAGGAGAGGGGAGGGGGAAGCGAAAGAGGAGAACCTTTCGTGTGATTGCATAGTGTCCCTTGAGTTCGTGGAGCGCCCACTTGATGTCTTGGCTGCTCAGCATTTTGAAGTCGGCCATGAGGAGGTCAGCAGCTTGAATGAAGCAACGTTGGTCAAGTGGATCCAGCTTGGAGAAGTCGAAATAGTCCACTTTAGGCACCTGGAGGGGAAGGAGGAGGAGGAGGAAGAGGAGGAGGAAGAGAAAAGGGGAGAGGAAGAGGAAGAGGAGGAGTGGAAGGGGGGAAGAGGAGGAGGAGAAAAGGAGGAGGAGTGGAAGAGGAGGAGGAGAAAGAGGAGGAGAAGGAGTGGAAGGGGGCGAAGAAGAGGAGGAAGACAAAGAGAAAACAGAAAAGAAGTTAGGTACGGTACTTTTTTCACATAAACTTTAGCATTTTAATGCAGTTCTGAAGATGCACAAAGGTAGCCCTGACTTACGACTACATTTGGGACCAGAATTTCTGTGGTTAAGCAAGGTAGTTGTTAAAACGAGTCACACCCAGTTTTACCACCTTTTTCGCCATGGTGGCTAAGCAACTCGCGCCATCAGTAAGCAAATCCAGCTTGCCCAACTGACTGGGCTTGTCCAAAGCCAGCTGGGAAAGTGGCCAGGGTGATCCCGGGATGCTGTCACCCTTGTGAATAAATCACGGCGGTCGCCCAGTGCCTGAATTCTGATCCTGGGACCTTGGGGGATCCTGTTGATGGCGGTTAAGCGCAAGGACCGGTTGCTTTTTCCAGCGCAACTGTAACTTCAAACAGTCACCATAAACACAGGGTTGTTAAGTAGAGGGCAACCTGTGTGCCAGCACCTCACACTTGCCTTCGTCTCATCTTGGCTGGAAAGCAGGCTGCTGTTTGGATTCAAAATCATGCTGAGTTCCTTCTTTGGGTAGTCTGGATTTTCCAGAAGCAAATTGCAGAGTCTGCAAAGCAAAAAGGAGACGGGAGTTTTGGAAAGAGCCGTCTTTTGAAGAGCCTTCCCCATGCCCATCGAAAAGTAAAAGAGTTTAAACGCTCTGCGAGACCCAGACACGTGGGGGAAGGGTTGGGGGGGTACACATTCAGAACAACACAAAAAATAATCCTGGTTAAGAGAGAGAGAGAGAGATAGAACACAAAGTCAGAATCAACTTTTGTTGGGGTTCAAGGAAGGGAAGCTTGCCCACAGCTGGCAAGTTCTGTGCCCAGTTTGATGTCCAGGAACTGACGATACACGAGGCTTTTTTATACTTACATGTTTAAGTCACAGCAGTTTTTGCTCTGTATCAGCTCTTGGATGTACTCTCGCGTTGCGTCTGGAAACCTGGCTTCCTAGAAAAACAGTTTGCCTTCAGAGGTTGTGGGTGCTCCATCCCTGGAGCTTTTCAAGAAGAGGCTGGACAGCCTCTTGTCTGAAATGGTATAGGGCAGGGGTAGGTAACCTTGGCTCTTTTATGACTCGTGGACTTCAACTCCCAGAATTCCTCAGCCAGCATGGGGAAAACTTTGGCCCCTTCATGACTTGCGGACTTCAACTCCCAGAATTCCTCAGCCAGCATGGGGGAACTATGGCCCCTTCATGACTTGTGGACTTCAACTCCCAGAATTCCTCAGCCACCATGGCTGAGCTTGGAAACCTCTCCATTTCTCCTCAGCATGGCTGGCTCAGGAATTCTGGGAGTTGAAGTCCATGAGTCATAAAAGAGCCAAGGTTGCCTACCCCTGGTATAGGGCCTCATGTTTGAGCAGGGCTTTGGACTAGAAGACCTCCAAGGTCCCTTCCAGCTCTATTCGGCTTCATCTGAGTCAACCTTGAGCCGGTCAGGATCGAATTCCCGGCACTGGGCAGAGTCAGCCAGCAATAGGCATTCTAGCCACTGCACCACAACGGCTGAAGCAAGCATTAAGACTTACCGTTTCTCGGATCAGAAGCACAACCGGGTCTTTGTCCAACAGAGTAGCGGTGTGCTTGGGAAGCTCACCGGAGCTGGTGTCCAGTGACCCTTGGGCTGGAAATGCCGGACCGGCCTGCTCGTTTATTACAGCCTGCTGGCCTCCATTTTCCTCTGGGGGATGAGCTAGCTGAGGGGAAGCAGGGCCGGGGATTCCATCTTGCTGAGCTTCGGGCCTGGGAAAAGCCGGCCCGGGGATCTCTCCTTGGTATACCCTCGGCAAAGGTCCCAGTTCTCTTTCCAGGGAGGCCGCCCGAGAAGAAAGCAAATTGACCACAGCCTGTGCCTCCTTCTTCGCTGCCTGGAAGTATGGATGATCCAGCCGCATGTTCTCCTTAACGCAATGGAAGGCCCCTCCGGGGTTGGGTGCCAGCCGTGGCTCAAGCGTCCGATCTGCCTCCTCTGGGTTTTCCTGATTGCTCCCCACTTCCTCCAAGTTAATGACCTCTGGGGCAACTTCTCTCTTCTGAACCGTGCTGGGCCCAGCCTCTGTCCCTCGGAGTCCCCTGGGGTCAACGGGCTCCGGAGAATCGGGTAACTCCAAGACCTCGGCCTGGGTCGGTCTGTTCAGTCCCACCCTCCCTGTCTTCAGGTGGTTCCGGCGGGTGCCCATCAGCCGGGGAGAAACTGGGGTCTTGGTCTTCTGCTCCTTGTGAGGAAGCACCACCACGTCGCCGTTAGACCCTCCTTCCCCCGTCTTGTTAAGGACTTGCCATGGAGCGGCAGGCTTGATCACATTGGGCCGCAGGGACTTCTTGGTGGCTGTCTTTACAAGGAGGCAGAGTGGAGTTAAAGATTCGTAATTTCCTTGGAAGTAGGTGCTAGACCTAAAATTCCTCTGTCTAGACCACAGCAGCTCTTGAAGCTGCCTTTGAATGCTAAAAAGCAGCACAATGTCTAGGGAGATTCTCAAGTCATTCAGGTCATGTCCCAGGGGTGTTTTTTCAAGAGGCAACTGGACTTTCTTTGTTTTTCCTTTGAAGACGTTTCGCTTCTCATCCCAGAAGCGTCTTCAGCTCTGGGGAATCGAAGGGTTTATCCTCTTTGCAGACAGCTGGTCCTTTGCATCCTTTTAGAGTCGTTGAGACCATTGGGAGGTTTATCTGTGTCCTCAGGGTCACCTGAGTGGTGCAAAGGGATGTGGAGCCTTCTTGGAAGGGCTGAAAAAGCAGCTGACCCCTGAAGACACAGATAAACCTCCAAGTGGCCTCAACGACCCACTAAAAGAAGGCGAACGACCAGCCATCTGCAAGGAATATAAACCCTTCCCTTCCCCACCCTCCAGCCAGAGCTGAAGAAGCTTCTGGGATGAGAAGCGAAAGGTCTTCAAAGGAAAAAGCAAAGGAAGTCCAGTGACCTCTTGAAAAAGCACCTTTCGGGGGAAAAGTTGAGGGAGCTCAGATCCCAGTGATAAAAATCTCTTGGGAGTGATCTTGGGGACTTTCCCCGTTGGCGCAAGAAATCGGGAGTCAAGGTTTGATGCAAAATGAGTACATGTTTATTCCATACTCCCTCTAAAGCAGAATCGGAACTCTTAACCGTTCAAGGCCAATTGGCGGTAGGTAAGAGTCAACGGAACTCAAGGTAGGACTCTTGTAGGCTCAAAGGGATTCGAGGCAGATGACAAGCTTCATCCCTCCCTCTCAGTCTGGTTACCTTCTATGCCAGGGGTTTTCAAACTTGGCCCTTTTATGACTTGTGGACTTCAACTCCCAGAATTCCTCAGCCAGGCACGTTCTGGGAGTTGAAGTCCACAAGTCATAAAAGGGCCAAGTTTGAAGACCCCTGTTCTATATTATCTCATCCTAGACTTTCTCACACTGCTTAGAAAGATTAGCTGTCGGAATCTGAGTAGTCCTCAACTTAAAAACTAGTTGCTTAGCAAGCATTTGAAGCTACAACAGACCTTGAAAATGGGATTTACGGCCCTGATTCTACATTCTGATGGCCGGGTTCCCTTGAAGTCACGTGACTGCATTTTGGGGGTGCTTGGCAACCGGCTCCCATTTGCAGCATCCTGTCGTCACAGGACTTAATTATGGCCATATGCCGAGGACTACCGTATACCGTCCATGCTGTTCTGGGAAGTTTCATTAAAAGGCATGTTCTAAACCCTGTTTATTTCTCAGGACTGCAAATAAATCTTTTTAAGTCTCAAAAGAAAAACGAAGGATATTTTAATTTCCTTTGAACCAAAAAATAAACAGACACACCAAAATTCCCATCACAACCCTGGCAGCCCTTTCAAATGATAACTTTGACCTTGTGGACAAACAGCTCCTACTTATCAAGATATGCTGCAATATCTCAAAGGAAAGAATCAAAGCTGCTGGGATATATGCAGTGAAATTTAGGTAATAAACCTCTATCAGCTTGAAGAAATTTAAGCCGCTGGAAAGCAGCCAACTGGCATTTAAAGAATGCAGGGGAAATACTGTGCTTGCTTGAAGCCTTGGGACATTCCTCAAACTCTGCACCTGGTTTACACACCAGACAACTTTGCTTGAGGTTTAGTGCAAAGCCTGACTCTGGCCAATTGTAGCCGATGCGCCAAACTGTGGTTTAATAAATTAACAATGGAGGCTTAGCCGCAATTCTTAGTATAAAATAAGCCCAACTTTAGCTGCAGCTTATTTGGAAAACATTCCCAATTGTAGCCGATGCATCAAACTGTGGTTTAATAAATAAATAAGTAAGGCTTAGGAGCAAACTGGCATTTAAAGAATGCAGGGGAAATATTGTGCTACTTATTTAAATATTTCCCAAACTCTGCACCTGGTTTACACAGCAGACAATTTGCAAAATCGCATCTTTGCTGCCTTCTCAAAGAGTGTTCAATTTTACTACGGCTGGCTTTTAGGGGCCGATCGTCCCATCTCGATCTGTCTCGTGGAGGAGGGGAGGACTTACCTCCATCAAGATGACCACGTCTTCATCCTCCTCCTCTTCCCACTGGCCGCGAACAGGTGTGTCCAACATCACAGGCAGCTCTTCATCCGAGGAGTCCAAGACGGTGATGAGTCCCTCGTCTTGGTGGCTAACCCGATCTGAAGGAAGGACAAGCCCATCAGCTCGCTAGCCGAAGGTCTGCAGGCAGTCCTCGACTTCCAACAGTTCATTTAGTGGCTGTTTAAAGTTACAGCCTCGCTGAAAAAAGGGACTCAGGACCGTTTTTCACACTTCCGTTGCGGCATCCCCGGGCTCACGTGATGTACATTCGGGTGCTTGACAACTGACACACATTTATGACAGTCACAGCATCCCAGGGTCACGTGATCCCCTTCTTTGGTGACTTTCTGACAAACAAAGTCCATGGGGAAGCCAGATTCACTTAACCACCAGGTTACCAGCTTAACAACTGCAGTGATTCAGTTAACAACGGTGGTAAGAAAAACGGGGCAAAACTCACGGAACAAATTTCTCACTTAACCAGCTAAATTTTGGGCTGTGCTGTGCTCATAAGTGGACGGACTGAAATACACGGCCAAACTTGCGTGGAAATAAAGCCGGAGAGAAATCCCAGGACAGGGCTGGGCGACTATGGCTCCTTTAGCACCACCTGTGGACTTCAACTCCCAGAATTCCTCAGCCAACCATGTGCAAGGCCCTTCACAAGCCCCAGCTTAGCAACGGAACTACCTGCCCTTACCTTTCCCTCGATGGCTCCGGAAACTATTCAAGTTGATTACTTCTTTTTGACCTCCTTCTTCCATGTTAGAAGGTTACGCATCTGAGCATGACATGCACGTCGTCAGGAGCCCCTGAAAAAGAATCAAAGGACAGTTTGACCACTGGCTTCCCACGAGTTTGTTAACGCAGTCTCAGTGGCAGAGGGAGGCCTCCCGCTGAATTGCTCAGCATCCTAGTTTCCGTTTGAAGCTGGGTTCTGCACGAGGCAATCTAGCTAGAGGTGGCCCTTGACTTACCACTTCTTTGGTGACCGTTCAAAGTTACAAGGGCACTTAGAATCGTTTTTCACCCTTATGATCGTGGCATCGTCACCACGTGATCAAAATTTGGAGGCCACTGCTTCGCGTTTAGGATAGCTGCAGCGTCTCCCGGGGTCATGTGATCCCGTTTTGCAACCAGTGGAACAGCTTGCCTCCAGACGTTGTGGCTGCTCCATCACTCTCTGTGTGTGTGTGTGTGTGTGTGTTTAAGAAGAGACTGAACAGCCCCTTGTCTGGAATGGTACAATGTCTCATGCTAGAGCAGGGGGTAATAATAATAATAATAATAATAATAATAATAATAATAATAATGATGTTGTTGTTGTTGTTGTGAGTTGTTGTTGGTCATCTAGTCCAACCCCCTGCTCAGGCAGGAAACCCTATACCACCTGTAGTTGTGGTTCTAACACACACACACACACACACACACACACACACACACACACACACACAGCAAGCCTCATTGTTTTGGCAAGCCTAAACAAGCTTTAATAGGCTGCCTTAACTCCCTCTTCCTGGCCACAGCTGCTTGAAAACTTCACACTGTCTTTTTTGGGGGGGGCAGAGTGTCCTCCTCCAGGGATGTGTTTTGTCTCCGCGAAATGTGTGGGCGTCTACGCAGGCGTGGGGAAGACGTCATGTGAAAACACAAGAGGCTATAATTGAAATATGACATATAATCCAAATATGACATATGGATCCAAGCAGAGGCAGCAGGAGCGCAGAATAAACGGCATGCTGGGAAAGACGTCCAACTTTGCTCTTTGCTAAAAGCCGGCAGCAAACTTCGGTTCGCAACCGTTCCATTTACACCAGCCCGTCGGCAGATTCAAGGCACACTGGCCTTTGTTTGAACAGCTCAGCATATGTTTGCGTGTGAATAAAATCTTTCCAAAGCAGACAGCGGAAAGCCCGGCACAGGTGGGGCCATAAAACGCAACAGACACATCCACCAGCCTTTATCAATTTCCATTTTTTTCCCTGGAATACACGAAAAGGGGACTTTTCAAGGAAAAGGTTTGGATTCGTTGGGCCAGGTTTTCAATCGGAAAAACATTTCGCCCATCAGCCCAACCAAGCTGCCAAGACTGGACAGCCCTGCAGTAGATCATTCTGAATGCAAAATTTCTCCCTGGCTGAAACAGGAAACCAAAACTGGTTCAAAGAGGGCCATGCAATAGATTCCTTCTGAAAGGAACAGGAAGTTCAAGGGCACACAGTTCAAGACTCTTCCTTACAACAAGCTCACAACTTCCTCCAGCGTCTAAACTGCAGCCAAACCCATCTTGAGAAGGGCGAAACGGGGATTCATTTCTTCTATCAGCCCAGAGGGGGGAAAACATGAACCCCGGCATGGGCAGATCAACCAAAGCAAAAAGTTTCAACAAGAAACAACCGTCAGATGGGTCAACAAAACCTCAAATTATATATTTAGGGGAGGAAAAAGATTCCTAGAGGTTAATACATTACATAGACCAGGAGAAGGCCACTGAAAACAAGGGTTCATGAACAGCAAAGGCATTTTTGGCACAGCCAAAAATCCCTGATCTCAAACCACATTGATAATGAACAGCACCGGTTCTATTGGGAAGGAACAAAAATCCTTGGCTGTGCCAACAGTCGCCACACAGCTGAATTTATCTAGTATTCTACCAAGGGAGCATATCCAGAAACTCAAACCATAGGAACTGCCAATCAACAAGAGAACCAATCAGCTGCTCAGAATTTAAATTTAAATCACACCACCACACTGGGACACAAGACTTTTATAAGCTAAGGAAAATAGGGCAAGAACAGCCTGCTGATGATGTTGCCTAGTCTGGTAGCGAAAGGTTCAGAAACTAACTTGAAACCAGCTTGGAGAGTAAACCACGGCCAAAACAGACCAGGACTCTCCAATTCGGCAACTTTTAAGGCTTGTGGACTCCTGGGAGTTGAAACCCACAAGTCTTAAAGTTGCCAAGTTTGGAGACACCCCCCCCCCCAACATAGACCAAACTAATTCAGATGTCAAGCAAGAGTTTGGATGTTTCAAACTAGACAGAAGTGTGGCATTGGGGAACACCCAGGTTAAAATCTATGTTGAGCCACAGAAACTCACTGGGTGACTGAATCGGTCAACCCGATTCACGTTGTGAGAGAACAACCGTAGGAGGAAACACTTCGTACATTGCCTGGAGCGGCTGCAGGAAAAGCAGGAGAGAAACCTGACAAATTAAATGTATATAAATCGAACAAATAAAGGCGGAGTGCCACCACCATAAAAAAGCAGCATGCTCGAGATACAAGTTGCAGGAGATGAGCAGGCTGAGGCCAAGGGTGGGGTTAAACGTGTTAGCAGTTTGAAATCATTACGTAGTCACAAGAGAGCCAGGTCCAGCCCTCTCCTGAATTCTCTTGACCCTTATCCAGCACCAATTTGCTGGACTGGTACTAGACCAGATTCTTCTCCACAGGTAGCACATAATAAACTTTTAGTGCTTTGAACTCAACTCCTGTTCCTGGTTACTTGCGCCTGACCCAAGCAGACTAAGCACGTTTTCCTGCTGGGCAAGATTTTATTTGCCCTTACTCTACGACGGAGGAACATTCAAACATGCCACACGCCAACAATACAACTGAAAGCTGCCACACTTTGAAAACACCACACACTGCTGATTTTTCCATTTAATTTGGTGCTTAATTTACCTGGGTAAATGCCCCCAAATTGGGTAAAAGTGTTTCCCCCCCCCTTTGGGTAACAACACCCATCACAACAGGGATATTTAAATCGACTTAATGATGGTCACGTGGGCTAACGTTTATTCAAAAACTTCCCAAAGCATTCCGACAAAGGCGAAGACTGATGGAAGTTTGTTGTTGTTGTTAATTGCGAAGTCGTGTCCGACCCATCGCGACCCCATGGGCAACGTTCCTCCAGGTCTTCCTGTCCTCTACCATCTTCTGGAGTCCATTGAAGTTCACACCTACTGCTTCAGTGACTCCATCCAGCCACCTCGTTCTCTGTTGTCCCTTTCTTCTATTGCCCTCAACCTTTCCCAGCATTAGGCTCTTCTCCAGTGAATCCTTCCTTCTCATTGATGGAAGTTACCGGCGGTTAATTTGTTGAAACGGCATAAAGATCGTTCAAGGATATTGTTTTTATAACGCAGGTAGTCCTCAAGTTTACGACCCAGCGACAGTTCAAAGTTACAATGGTGCTGGAAGAACGGCTTATGGCCGCCCCCCCCCAGTTAGGTAAGAGTTTCTACTAAGCAATTTTAGGTAAAGAAGGAAAAAGATTTAACTCATGGATATTAGAAAATTCCATTAACCTTCCTACGCTCCGTCTTCAAACCTTCTTTACCTTCTGCATGGAACACTCTTCCATGTGGCGCATTCTGGGCACACAGGGAATCCTTGACTTACAACCGCAGCTGAGCCCAAAATTTCTGTCACTAAGCAAGAATATGTTAAGTGAGTTTTGCCCCGTTTTACGAACTTTCTTCCCTCGGTTTTTAAGCGAATCGCCACAGTTGATAAGTTAGTAACCCGGTTGATGTGAATATAGCTTCCCCCATTGACTTTGCATGTTTAGAAGATTGCAAAGGAGATCACATGACCCCGGGACACTGCAACCGTCATAAATAGGAGGCAGTTGCCAAGCATCTGAATTTTGATCACGTGGCCATGGAGACGCTTAAATGAGAAAAACGGTGAGAAGTCACTTTTCTCAGTGCCCTTGTAACTTTGAATGCTCAACAAACAAACTGTTGTAAGCCGGTAGTGTATTTACTAATACAATTAACAGCAACCACTTACAAATGTCAAGTTCAAAGCAGGACTCAATCACACACACACACAAACAAACACACACACACACACAAACACACACACACTTACTCCCACAGCAAAGGAAGAAAAGCACAGATGTCTGTCAAATCTCAAAGCCAGATTCCTACACACCATTTCAATAAATCCACTTGGTCAAAAGTTATTCTCACAACAGATAGCAGACAATTTCGGATTCTGCCCTGCCTCTCCCCCCAAATCCCTGGCTCTTATTTACCTTCCTTCCCCCATCCCATAAAGGTTCAGATGGCAGAGCTGCCTTGTGTTTTCACAGCACACAAAACTAGCCCCGACAGGTAAACAGACTTTGTCCCTGCCAGCGGTTACAAAGCAGGAAATTTATCCTTGCAATCCCAATGAACGACTTTCCAAGGGGAAGCAAAGATTGTCTTAGGGAGGGGGGGGAGACCAAAAGGAGCTGGGGTGGGGGGGGGAAGAGAAGAAAACAGAAAAGGCAAAGGAGAGGAAGGAAGAGCAGGGAGAGAACAGGTGGGAGAGCACACTTAAAGGGAGAGTTCGAAGGGCTATTCCATAAATGGAAAAGGGCAATATGGCTGGGAGGAGGAGCAGACATGTGGCTGAAAAAAAGTAAGAAGGAACACAGTTATGTGTTGGATTTGTTCAAGTGGCAAGCCAGGTTTACATTCAAGTTAGCAAACCAGCATTAAAAAACCCCCAAAGGTAAAGGAACACAAATGTTAATGAAGAATTTAAAAACCTGATACAAAAAATAAATAAAATAAAAATAGTTCTCTGGAGATTTCCTAAATCCAGGGGACCAACCTGAAGAGGGGAAGGATTCAGAAAGTCCATGAAGGATTTTGGCCTGGAGACCTGAAAGGTTGAGAGGCAGTAATTCAGACTATTTGGCCCTAGGCCACGTAGATTTTTAAAAGTTAGCAATACGGGTAAGTCTTCAACTTACGAGCACAGCTGAGTCCAAAATTTTACGCTGTAAACCTTTCTTGCCACAGTTGTTAAGTTGTTCAGTTAGTAACACGGTTGTTAAGTGAATCTGGTTTCCCCATTGACTTTGTTGGGAAGGTCGCAAAAAGGGATCACGTGACCGCGGGATAAATGCATTCAAATGTAAATTGCGTGGCCATGGGGAGGCTACAATGGTCGTAAGTGTGAAAAACGGTCATAAGTCTGTTTTTTCAGTGCCGTTGTAACTTCAAACGGGTCACTAAATGAACTGTTGTTAAGTCGAGGAGTTGTACTGTCTTAAATTGGGGAGGGTTAAACCATGATTTCAGATGTTTGAATTGGACAGATTAAAGCCGCCGTGAAGCCAGGAGCAAATTCCAATATATACATAACAAGGTCTATTTCCAAATGAAGTCAGTCAGCACCAATTTGGCCAGCAAAGAAAGTTAAGCAAGCATAAAAGGTCTGCTAACAAATGCTGATGGGGAAAGAGTCAGAGACAATCAGGGTGTCAAGAACATAGGAAGTGAGTTTATTATAGCGTGGCAAACCATATCTGTGTCACTCTTAAACCCGGAGAGGAACTCGTCTTGCTTAGCCCAGGATGAAAGCAGCAGGATTTGAATCTGGGACTCGGCAGCTTATAGAGAAAACAGGTGCTGGGTCATGCATCAGCCCCCTCTTGAACGCTGCAGGGTGGGACGGTGGAGACCCCAGAAGTGGGGAAGATGGGCATCCTAAAGGGGGGGGGGCTTGAAAGGTTGCAATACTGTTGAAAATCGAAAGCAGGGCCCGACATCAGCAAGAATTAGGGGGAAGCAAACAAACCAGCAAAACTTGCAGAGCAAAAGAGAAAGTGATAGAGAAAAGGGATGGGGCTGGGGTGGGGGGAGGAGAGTCTTTTTCCCCATAAGGAAGAGAGGCAGCAAGCCAAAAGGGGCAAGGATTGGGGTGGGGGTGGAGAAAGAGGGGGGGAAGGGGTGAAACTCGGGGCTGAATAGGGAGCCCACATTAGAAGAGGAAGATAACCAGAAAGGGGGGAGAGAGGATTAAACAGGGGAGGGGGGAGAGGGAAGGAGAGCCAAGGGGGTTAGAAGGAGGAGGGGAAAGAGAAAAGAGCCCCCTCCTCCGGCTGCCATGCCCGGAAAGGGAGACCAGGAGGGAGGGGGTGGTTGTCAGGAGGTGGGGGGGAGAAAGTCCTAAAGAGAAGAAGACTCCCCCCCCCACGAAAGGAAGGAACCTCAGGAAAGAAGAGGGGGAAGACCCTCCCCAAAAAGGAAGGGGATGAGGGGGGACGGGGAAAACACCTTAGGAAGGGCAAGGAAGGGGGAAGAGAAGACCCCCCCCCAAAAAATGAGAAGAACCCCCCCAGGAAAGGAGAAGCAGAAGAGGGGGAAGGAAAGGGAGGGGGGAGGACCCCAAGAAAGGACAGGAAGGGGATGGCAGGCAAGACCCGCTAGGAAAGACAAGGAACGGGGAAGAAAAGACCCCCCCAGAAATGGAAGGGGGCTGGGAGAGAAGAACCCCCCCCAAAAGGAAGGAAAGGACCCCCAGGAAAGGAGAGGCAGAAGACGGGGAAGACCCCCCAGGAAAGGAAAAGAGGACGTGGGGGGGAAGGGGAAAGGGAGGGGGAGGACCCCAAGAAAGGAGGGGAAGACCCCCTCAGGAAAGGCAAGGAAGGGGGGTGCAAGACCCCCCCGGAATGGAGAGGCAGAAGAGGGGGAAGATCCCCCCAGGGAAAGGGAGGGGGAGGACCCCAAGAAAGGAGGGGAAAAGGGAGCAAGACCCCCCCCTTCCGGCCGGCCCCCTCACTCACCGCCCGGGCGGGAGGGCGGCCTGCCCGCTGCCCCGCTCGCTGGCTCGCTCCTCGCCGCCTGGCTGGCTGCCCCGTCCGGGCCTGACTGGCCGGCCTGCCCCGCGCGCTCCGGCCCGACCCCCGCGCGGCTCCGGCGCTTCCGGCTTCCTCCCTTCCTCCCTCCTCCTCCTCCTCCTCCTCCCCCTCCTGCCCGGCGCCGCCCCCTCCCTCCCTCCCCCCGCGCGTCATGCAGCGCCGACCCACCGCCCGCCGTGAGGGCCAGGCACCCCCCCCCCACGGCCCTCGCGCCCGCCACGTGACCGCCGGCGGGCGGGGAGGGAGCCCGGCGCACGCGGGGCCCGGGCCATAGAGCGCGCGGAGAGGGAGAGGCGCCTCGCCGCACCATAGAGAACCGCGGCCGGACCGGCCCTCACGTGACTGCCGGGGAACACGTGGCTGCCCTGCCTGAATTGCTGCTCGAAGGCGTGAAGTTGGGGGAGGGGAAAGGCGGGGAAGACGCCCCCGCCCCGCCAGGTCGGACTGTCACTATGCGGAGGAAGGCTAAAGGGAGGTGGGCAGGGATACCAGCGTCTTTCTTGCAAGGCTTGATGACCTCCTTCTGTACCTGAAGGCAGGTGTGGACTTCAACTCCCAGAATTCCCCGGCCAGCAACCTTGGTGATTTTAAAACTTGTGGACTTCAACTCCCAGAGTCCCCTGGCCAGCTGACTTTAAGACCTGTGGACGTCAACTCAATGGAATGCATTAGGAATAGGCTTGGCTTCCTTCTCCTTCTTCGGAATAATGAATGTTGCAGTTCATTCCATGTGCAAAGGGCTGTCCCTTGGAAGGAAAATGACCAAAAATCCCCTCTATTTGTCTTTAGATGATACTGTACTGTAAACACATGTAAAAGTGGAAATCACAAAGGTAACTATTGTGATTTTAAGGGTATCCCTGTGTCTTGATTTTCTCCTCTTCCGTCTGTTATAATTTAGTAACGATGAATGTTTCAATGCATTATAGCATCTATTTTGCCCTCCTATGCATCCACCAGATGGGGCTCAACGATCAAAAACGCACATTGACTGGAGTAGTTCTGAAAGGAAAATGACCTAGAAAAATCAGAAAGTTCACAGACAGCTGCCTGTCTTGATCGGATTCAGCAATGCCGGCTGGGGAATTGTGGGAGTTGAAGTCCGTGCATCTTAAAGGTCGCCAAGATTGGAAAACGCTGGACTGTTTGGTTAGTTAGAATCATGTATTGGGTCAACCCAGAAAACGGATCAAGTATAATTTTAGGTGGGAAAAAAAAACGGGTCATTTTCCCCTTTTGCTGGCAGTGAATTTTTTTTACTTTAAAGCAACCAATCCTGTCAGCAGATTTGGACCCAAGCCATCCATTGTGCAGCCTGGAAGGATTGCAAGTCCTTGCCCACCGGGGAAAACCACACAGACGTGTGTGTTCAAATTGATCACGTGTGCAGCTGGGAGCCGGAAGCACCTCCAGGCGAAACGGCTTGAAAGGGGGAGCATCATCGTTAGTCCAGCCAATTGAACAGCTGCCAGGGTAATGTTTTACCAGAGGCTAAGGTTTAAAGTTGGTCACAGGGGCATGTTTGTTCAACCAGAGGAAGGAGGAAGTAGCAGTCCAGCTGGCCTGAAAGTTTTTCTTCCTACAAAAAGAACGGGGAGAGATCAAAAAGCATAGCCAGCTCCAGAAAATATGAAGGCTTCCTCATTCTTTCCACCTGCAGTCTTTGCAGGAGGCGGGTTTCAGCATGATAGTTTGGCAGTGTTTCTCTTGCAGTGGTGTCTCCATTCCTAGACCGGAAGGGCCCTTCTTGAAATCCTTGCTTGCCTCGCTCTTGTCTGGATGACGATCCTCTGCTCGGATGGGGCTGCTCTTGAAGGTTACTTGGAAGCCGCAGCTGGTCTAGAACACAGCACCCCAAGAACTTAACCGTATGGGCACCCCTCTGTGTTCACCAACTGTATTGGTCACCAGGAAGATTCTGGGCATAAGTCAAAGAGTGCTAGTTACGACCTACAAAGCCCTCCATGGCTCAGTGACCACTTATCTGTGGGACCTCTGGTCTCCAACTGCTTGCATCCAATTAGTAAGAGCTGATGGGTGGTCATGATCCAGGGCCCATCGCTTAAAGAGTATCCTCTTAATCAGTGGACTGGAGGCTAAAACGAGGGGTGGGATTCAGCCAGTCCGCACCACTTTGGCACAACCAGTAGCTAATTTTTTGTGGCCCAGGCCCAGAATGGACTTCTTCACGGTTGCAGCATCCCCACAATCAGGTGATCAAAATTCAGATGCTGGGCAACTGGCTCATATGACAGTCGCAGTGTCCCGGGGTCACATGATCTCCTGGCAAGCAAAGTCAACAGGGAACCCAGATTCATTTAACAAATGGGCTACTAACTTATCAACCGCAGTGAATTGCTGAACATCTGTGGCAAGAAAGGTGGTAAACTGGGGCAAAACTCCGTTAACCAATGTCTCACTTAAGAACAGAAATTTTGGGGTCAATTGGGGTCATACGTTGAGAACCGCCTGTAATTGAAAACTCAGCTGGGCTGACTCTCAGTTGTTGAACCTGAACTGCTCATTTCCCCACTGTATATTTTAACACAAGTCTTTCAAAACGCAGAGTACGTAATCAAAGAACCGAGACACAAAACTAAAGTTGTGAGAGTTTATTGCATATGTAACAAAAATGGACATGACCTTCCCGGGCCCACCCTACTACACAATCACTGTTTATTCCAGCCGGCTCCATAACACATTAAATAGAACTAGCATTTCTTTTTTAAATACTTTGATTTAGACATAAAATGAAAAAAAAAAACACATTAGTGTACAACTTTTTTTTTTTACAAAATAAAATCTGCAATATAAACGGTGAGAAGAGTAACAAGGGTAGCAGCAATATTTAAAAACCCAAGACATTACAAAAGAATAAGTTAAAAAAACACATTATAAAGTGGTTAAAGAATGGATAACAAAAAAAAAAAAGTTATCGAGAGGGGGGAAAAAAAAATAAAAAACCCGAGAGACTTAAAACTGCATTTCTGGAAAACTTCCTGTGCTCTACAGTGCAGAAATACTGGGTTGTGGCTGAGAAAGGGAGAGGATTTTAAAAACAAGCTGCTGAGGCCTGAGAACTAATGTTAAGCAAGCAATCCCTTTAAAGCAACAGCGTCCAAACTCGGCAACTTTTAAGAGCTGTGGACTTCGACTTCCAGAATTCCCCAGCCAGCCATGCTTGGCTGGCTGGGGAATTCTGGAAATCGAAGTCCAGAGGTCTTAAAAGTTGCCGAGTTTGGACACTGCTGCTTTAAAGCATCAACAAGCAGGAAGTTGGTCCAATTTTGACTCGGAGCTGGTCCCGCCTTTCCAATTCCTAACACTGCGCAAATGCTGATTTTCCTGCATCCCTGAGGGCATCAAGGCAGATGAGGCATTTCAGGGCAAGTAAACAAACCAACCAAAAATGCAGAGAGAGAGAGAGGGATTTGCATCACTGGACCAGGCGCAGCTGAAGGTCCTTTCAAGAGGCTCTGGGTGAGATAATCCGTCGAGAAATTGGCCCTTTTCCCTCTCCCGCTGAACTGGCGTCACGGCTAAACTACAGGTTCCTATCTCCTGGTGGGAAAAGCTACAAATGCTTATCAGAGGGAAAGCTGCAAGGAGGAGGAGGGAGTTTCATGCTCCACCCTCACGTAAGCTTTACTCACAGTTTTCAAGGAGGACTTTTGAGGATCTGCTCCAGATGATGCTCGTGATGGGTGAGAGCAATGCCAAGGCAACTTAACCTTCACGCTCATGGATTCTGTCCTAACCGTTGACCTGTCCCAAAGCTTTCAGCAGAGGTGGTCCCTAAGTCTAGCCGAGGTTTGAAGGGGGAGGCTAGGGTGGTGTCAGAAACAAGTCCACGTCTAGCTTGCTTTCTCCTCCCAGCCCCAGCTGAAGACCTTAACGGAGAGACCGGCAGCGCTTTCTTAGCTGAAGAACAGTGACACCTTTAGAAGGCAACTGGAGGAGCTGAGCAAAACTAAAGAGCTATTTCTTCTCCTCCAAGTTACCATCAGAGAGAACCCATTCTGCACCCTGCCGTCCGATCAGCCTTCTAGGGCAGGGCTCTCCAACCTTGGCAACTTGTAAGGCTTGTGGACTTCAACTCCCAGAATCCCACAGCCAGTTCTGGCAGCTGAAGGCCACAAGTCTCAAAGTTGCCAAGTTTGGACACCCCTGTCCAAAAGCTACCTTTTAATGCTAGATGCAGACTGCCACAGACTGCCTTTTGCATTTCAAGTTGCTTGACTTGTTCACCGTCCTCCATTTTGGGCGTGGCTGAAGCACCACTTAACACCGTTCAATGGCTGGGAAACAGACTGTGCAAGTCATTTTAGTGGGAGCAGAATTCACACCTTTCTGATTCTTTAGAGGCTTAAATTCCAGTGGCAGGGTCAATCATGACTCAAGTATATCATCTTGGAAAATGCTGGTAGATTTCTGCTGTCCAGAAGTTTGCTAAGGTCCTTCAAGATCTGAAAAAGCCTCCTTGAACTAATCCCCTCTCAGATTATCCGCAATGCATTGGAATGGCCTCATAAGTGCAAACGAATCCCGGAAGGACATTGCGAGTCAGTTGTTAAGTCAACCACAAAACCCAATCGTTTTGCCACACGGTGCAAATATCACAAAGGTAGATTTGCTTTCTCAAATGGAATTCTGAAGTTTTCCGTCGCCGAGAGTTACAGTCAACTGAATAAACAGGAAGAAAAAACAATCCGGGGATCTGGACAAGTTATCTAATTTTGGTTTGTCCTATCACAGTTTAAAGCTATTCTCAATTGGTTGTATAAGTGACGATAGAAATATCCTTGCAGACCTGACAGAAACAAGCAAAAACAACCCCACACCAACATGACCCACGTATGAAGTTCTGACACCTGTTAATATGCTTCTTTGCAAAGGAGGAGGAAGGAAAACTCTCACAAAGTGTCAAGGTTACACCTGATGGTTAGTGGAATTTCTGACCCCCGAGAAATGTTATCTTGTTAACAATTACCGGCCTTCTTGTTTGTGCAAATTAAAAAGAAGCGTTTTGACAGGGGGATCTTATCACTTGGATTCTTCCATCCCCTGGAAGTTGCATGGAGGGCAAACAAATTGGTATCAATTGTGAAAATTGTGTCGGGGGACTGGAGGGAAAAAAAGAGAGACGCTGGAAACCGTTGTTTGGAATACTCAGTCTCTACAGGCTAAGGCCTGTGTTACAATTCCTTTCACAAGAGCCGTGCTATATTCCAGACGGCTCAGAAATGGAACTGGATTCCGTTTATCTTTGCTATGAGCTATTTCCTGTGGAAAGAATTTCGGCCGTTTCACATCACAATGAAAGCATTTCAGAAAACAGAGCAAGAAACAGAGAAAAAAAAAAAGGTGGTGGATTTTCTTGAGAATCTGAGCCCGTGCCCTGCTTTCTCTGTAATAGATGCCAGGGATCGCCAAAAGAAAAATGGAAAATTATTCCAAAGAATGAGTCTATCTCCTAGGCAAAGGAGCCCCGCAGAAAGAAAAAGAAACGAGCGTCGTTCAAGATGGTTTGATTCTCCTGAATTGTTCCTCTTAAGAGCCAAGTCATCTCATTCACAGGAGGAAAAAAAAAAAAAAAAAAAGCTTCCTGACCAGGAATAATAATCCTCAAGTTTTCCTATGCTGACAGAGCTGGGCTCTGCTAGGTATTCCTTAAACGGGCTTTCCTTGAAATGTGCTAATGAGGAATTCCAGTGCCATTTATTTTATTTTTATCTTTTTGTCTCCAGAGCTTCTGGATCCTACAAGGGCTCAGGGTTGCGTCGAAGACAAACATCCACAGACATTTATCAACCAAACTCCTCGGCAAACCAATGGCAAAGATACTCAACTACAGTTTGAATCTCCTATAAAAAAAGACCACAGGTCGTAGACCTTATCACAATATGTGTTACAAATCTAGCAGAATTATCGCGGGTAACCGAAACCAAGCGCTGAGCCTGGCTGCCTGTTTTTGTGGTTTTGTTTTGTCGTTGTTGTTTTTTCCTGGGAAATGGAAGGAAGGAAAGGGAGGGTTATTGTCACGAGAGGGAGAAAGTTATGTTTGGGAACCTCCAAAATAAAAAGCTTCCCTCTTCGCCGACGCCGTTCGAAGGAAGGGGGAAAACAGCCTTTGCAACCCCTAGTTGTCAAGCAAACACTTTGGACAAAAAAGAAGTTCACAGCAAGCTTCTCCTTACAGCTTTTTCGATTTGGTGGTCCGTGAGCTCAGCCATGTCGGTTTCCTTTGGTTGCCTGGTCACTCTACCGCAAAGCCACAGGTCTCTTCCACGGCGGTCACTAGCTTTTCATAAAGCTTCTCGTAAGACTCGTAAGGCGGAATGTCAATCCGATTAAAGCTGCAGGAGGTTAGGGAACAAGACCCAAACAGGATGCTTTTTTATTCAACAAACTGATAACACAGGCAGTCTCAACTTGCAATCATTTGTTCGGTGACCTTAAGGGGCTTAGGACTGTGGGAGATGAAAATATAGCCCCTCCTCGTATAATGAGATGAGGCTGGAGCAAACCTGAAATCACAGTAGTGATTTAAAACAAAGCTTTAGCTGCTTGCTATGTTCCAAATTTTTAGCCAAATAAACTCCTGAACCTTAAAGTTAAGAATGATGGTTTTGGGCTGCTGTCTCTTGTCTTTTTCAGGGTTTTTTTTCCACGACAGGACCACTTTTCACGGTTACGGCCTTTGCAGCCTCCCTATGGTCCTGTGATCCAGCTTCAGATGCTTGGCCACTGGTTTCATTTTTATGACCGTCACTGTGTCCCAAGGTCACGTGAGACCCTTTTGTGACCTTTTGACAAGCAAAGCCAAGGGGGGAAGCTGGGTTCACTTCCCAACCAGGTTACTAACTTATCAGTTGCAGTGATTCTCTTCACAATTGTGGCGAGAAAGGTCGTAAAATGGAGGCGAAACTCACTTAGCCAATGTTTTGCTTAACCACAGAAATTACGTGCTTCACTGTGGCCGTAAGTAGGGGACTACCTGCCCCACCCTCCCTCCTATTGAAGATACATGCATAGCGAAGCCTCCTCTGCCCATATTCAGAGAATTAATTGGTTTAAGGGTAAGGCCGAATAAGGCTAATCTGGACTCACTTGTTTCTTTTTACATCAGAGTTTGACAACTTCCTCCAGCAGAAACAAACCACATTCTCACAGCCCGGTCTGCTCCCGATTCGCAGTCACGCCAAGGGACTTACCAAGTATGAGCTTTTGGGAGGTTGTCTGTATTTGCATCTATCAAGTGGATAGTGAACAGCCTGGGTCCTGCCGCGCCTGTAGAACCTTGCAAATAGACATTCTAGTTAAGGCCCTTCAAAAGCCTGGCTATTTTATCGCCCTGCCCTGACCTCTGGTGACCTCCCATATCAACCAAGCAGAGAACAGGAACTCGGGACTTCTGTTTTAGGGGTGTGGACACACCTGAGTGCTAGGAAGAGCTCCTTCCCAAGGCCACTCTCTCTTGGCCCAAGATTCTGGAAAGCTGCTGCTTCCAGAGCTGTTCAGGCAGAGGCCTGGAAACATCAGGATCCTTAAGGCTTTGATTGGCTGCCAAACTGTCGTTTTCAACAGGGCAGAGATGTTAACGGATAAGGAGTTACTGCGTTAACTAGGTGTAATTCAGGTTTCTGTCCTCATCCACCCCACTTCTTTTGTTGCAGTTGTTTTTCTTTTTTTTTTTTAAAAAAAAAAAAGAGCACACACACCCCAGTACAAAATCCATCTCTGACCTTTTACACTCAAATGGGTAATCTGAATCTTGACTTGATTCAATGTTAAGGCAGCTTGATCTATATTGGAATGGAATGGACTGGAATAGAATAAGAATAGAATAGAATTAGAATGGAATGCAGAATAGAGTACAGCTGGAACGGACCTTGGAGGTCTTCTAGTCCAGCCCCCTGCTCAAGCAGGAGAACCTATACCGTCTCAGACAGGTGAATGTCCAATCTCCTCTTAAAAATCTCCAGTGATGGAGCGCCCACGATTTCTGGAGGAAAGCTGTTCCAGTGGTTGATTGTCCTCACTGTCATATATTTTTCCAATGGAGGATTGGGTGGGACAGTTAGAAAGATGGAGGGAGGGAGGGCCGATTGACTGGCATGGAAAAGCAGATCCCCTGCCCAGCTGCCTCTGGCCCAAGTCTGCTAACTCAGCCCCCCGATCAGTCACCTTGCAAAGCCTTGAAACCCTGAAGGGGGACCCGCGTGGAGCCCGTGACAAACTGGAGCAGCCGCGCTCTCCTTTCCTCATCAAAGGCTTCCACCGCTTGCCAGAACCACTTGACGATATTGCTGTCGGCCATGCAGTGCTTCAGACGCGTGTTGGCTTTCCAGTCATTCAGATCAATCTTATCTAGGCCACCAATGATGAGCTGGGAATCAGAAAGGTCCTTTTTAAAGCAGCAGGTGCCAGGACAACACGGGATACCGCATTCATACTTTATCACCCTTGACTGCTCTGCTACTGACAGTTTTTGAACAGACTTTCCATATCCACAACTTATGGAGGCAAGCCTTTCCACTGTTCAATTGTTCTCACTCTCAGGAAATTTCTCCTTAGTTCTAGGCTGCTTCTCTCCCATTATGCTTTTTAAAACAATAATAAAATAGGAGATTTACTCTGGGCTTGGCTGTTTAGCTTTGTTAACCGCTGCATAGAGGACAAATAATGTTTAGATAGTATGCAGCGGAGTCCCCACACGATTTTCAAGCAGTGTGCATACTGCTCTACCTTGGCAACCAAGATCTGTGAATTTCAGCTCCCAGAATGTTCCAGTCAGCATGTGTGGACTTCAACCCCCAGAATTCCCAGGCTAGAAACTGCTTTCATGAGCTATTCTGACATCTTTGAAACCTATTTTACTCTTAAGCCAGTCATACGCTCTGAAAAAAAAAATCTTAGAAAATTGACTCAGCATAAACAAAAGCACAACTGTAACTTCAGCGTTTTCAAGGTGGAAGCACTGAAATCTCCTAATTCTTTACCAGGATTTTAATTCCGATTCCAATTCTCTACCAGGATTTTGATTCTACATACTCCCCCATTTTCCTTAGCATCTTCAGGAGATCTTAACAGGAAGGAATTTTTTTTCCGTCTATGAGTTTTAGTATGGAAACTGCCCCAAATTTGCCAAATCAAGGCCTCTAAGTTAAGAAATATCCTTCAAAAGTAAGCTTTCTAGGCATTCTTCCTCATCTTTGGACAGAATTCTGTTTAACACATAAATTCAGAACAAGGAAAATATATGTAGAGCTATTTTCGCTTTTGAGGCTATGTGAACTGCAGCAAGAGCTAGTTTGAAATATACAATACCTCAAGTTCCTTGTGGTCAAAAGGCTTCAGGAGGTGCTGAGGAATAAGTTCATTAAAACCTTTTTGAAGAGCCAGGAATTGGGCTTCAATTCCTCTCATGAACCGCCAGTTTACGTACAGCCTGGGAAACAGAAAAATAAATCTCAGAATGACTACAGAATTACTACTGGAATGGTAAGAATTTTGCAAATGGGTACAAAGCCTGTCCCCAAAAGAAGTCACAGGCTGTCTAAAGAAACAAATCGGGGCACCTGACATATTCTTTCTTGTTCTCCTCTGTAACGGAAACATTTCTTCCATTCGGCTTGAGTTCGTGTTGCAGAATTCTGCCAAAAGCATTGTGTTCCACACAGAAGGTATGGTCCAGAACTGGAGTGATGTCATTCTCTCTGTCAAAAAGAATGCAATGTCTACAAGTCATTTCTGCAAATGAAGAGTTTTTTAAATTATTTATTTAGCCAGACCTATTGAACCATGTAATTTTAAGAGCAGAGTTCTCTGTGGCTGATCCATGCTTTAGTAAGCAGTTGTGCAGCCGTGCGGTTTTTAATATTCCTCCTTAGAGAGGGAAAAAAAAATGTAGAGAATACAAAACCAAAAAAAAAGGTATTTTCTGATCAAATTCTGTCCCCAAAGATATTCCTTGGATGCACTGTTGGTTGACTTCCAGAAATGCCCAGAAATTTAAGAGTTTCTCATGCCTGTGTTATGAGTGAGGCTGAAGATTAATTTTAGGAATTACAAGCAAGCAAATTCAGAATCACAGTTCAGCTGAACAGGTTTCTAATGAAGTTCAAGGATTACTTTCTCCTATCAAGCAGCTATTCAGAAACGCCACTGCTGATTGCTTTATAAAAGTAAAAGTTTTTTGGAAGTTCTTACGTAATAATAATAATAATAATAATAATAGTAGTAGTAGTAGTAGTAGTAGTAGTAGTAGTAATAATAATAATAATAATAATAATAAAAAAAAAAGTTGGAAGGGACCCTGGAGGTCATCACGTCCAACCCCCTGTTCAAGCAGGAAACCTTATACCATTTCGGACAGATGGCTGTCCAGTCTCTTCTTAAAAACTTGCAGTTCACTGCTTCTGGAGGCAGGTTGTTCCATTGGTTATCTACCTTGCCAAAAGCAGCTTTAAAATCTAGGTAGGCACCAGTGATTGAGGTCAAGAAATCTTTTTCATTTGAGCTGGTCCTCCTGACCCAATCAAAACATTATACATTATTGGACAGAATACTTACAAAATCCAGACTAAGCTCTTATGTAGCTCTGGATCAACCGATTCCAAGTCAGATAACTGGATGGGTTTGCCCAGCAGCTGTTTGTAGAAAGGGACCGTGAAACCCCCATTGATGTAATGCCCGTGGAACACGGCCAGCCCCATAATCCGACCGACAAAGTGGAAATAAGACAGATGATCCTGAAAAGATATGCCAACCACCAAGAATTTCATTCACTGCAAGGGATGCCAGCACTGGCTGTCTTGGGGCTACACAGTTGCCTTTAGCTGACGTAATGGAAGTGCCATTTCATTCTTGCAAATCCTGTAGCTGAGAAGCATCAGCACACCCCTTGAATCTGGTATATTTATGCTCTTCCATTCAGTACAATTTTGTGGGGTCTTTTTTTTTTACACTATAAGAAGACCTGAGTTTCTTTACCTCAGCAACATTTAAGATGGACTTCAACTCCCAAAATTCAAATTCTGGGAGTCGAAGTCCACACATCTTTTAAGTGGCTGAGGTTAAAGAGATGCTGAGACAAATTTTCACTAACCAGCTGCTTATAAGAAGCTGGAACAATCTTTGTCTTCAACAAACTGAACAGTTAAAGGGAGGCACTCCTTGGGAAGATAACGTTGACAGGAATTCTTTAACCCAGTGTTTCTCAACCTTGGCGACTTGAAGATCTATGGACTTCCATCTCCCAGAGCTCTGCTGGCTGGGGAATTCTGGGAGTTGAAGTCCACAGATCTTAAAAGTGGCCAAGGTTGATGAGAAGCACTGCTCTAACCCATTTCTATTCACAGCTTCACCTCTCTCGAACCCTTCACAAATGAGGCCAACCCCTGACTATACTCAGTCCTTTTCATTTTTTGCATTCGGGAATGCACGTGTTTTCTTGAAGATGTCAAATAGCAACGTTCTTGCACAGAGACGTTGTCCTTTTGGGGAAATTGTAACGGACAAATCGGGGAATGATTTTATTTTTTTCTAATTAAAATACAGAATGATATCTTTACTGATTCGGTTAATGCTTACTCCGCTCAAAAGCAGCTGTCTAAACATCTTACCTTTTCAAGAAGGGTGTACTTCAGCCATCCGTGAGCTGTTTACCTGTATCTTGCTTTACCTCCAAGAGCTCCAAGCAGCATATTTAGCAAGCCCTCTTTTAATTTTAACTTAACCACAGCCCTGCAAGGTCGGATAATCTAGGACAGCGGCTTGTGTGAAGAACTTTTGCTACAGATGGCCTTGTGCTTGGATCTTTCCAATTCAAGGCCAGGGACTAAATTGCTATGTTTTACCAGTGCCACCCCAATCTTGAAGGTTTTTTTTTTTTAAATGACTTAAATTTAGGATCGTAGGAAGTCCAATTCTAACCCACTGTTAGACAGTAGCTTAATCTAGATACACAGTGAGCTGTTAATATGTGCCTATGTTTATTTGAAAAGATAAATTCCAAGGGGCTACATAGGCAATTATTATTTAGTGGGACGTTTTTCAAACAGGGGTGGGCAACTATAGCAATCACCAGGTTCTCCCCTCCAAACATTCCATGCAACTTCTCTATGGTTGCTGTTCATTATGAAAACTAGGAGGGGGAGGCAGAATGAGAGGATGGGGGTGGGTGGGAAATGAGAGGAACTGCTTTCCCTTAAAATAGATAGCCTAGAGCAGCCGAGACAGTTATTATAACAAATTCCTCTGGGTTGCTGCAACATCCTCAGACACTTGGGGATGCTTCCTCTGATGCTTTAACCACAAGCTGTAAGTCATGGCTGAGTCATAGTTTCATGCTGAACTACTGTGGCAGCAAAGGAAGTCCCTCCCCCTCCATGAAAAAAATGTCCCTTTTTTTCTTCTTTATGCAAATGAAGGGAGGGAGGGAGAGACCTTTCCCCCAACATAAATGCAACTTGGGGAATTTGATTAAAACTCAGGATTTCCTCCTCCCTCCCTCCCTTCCTTCTTTCCCAGATCTTCCACTCTTCCCCACTGGCAGAGGAAAGCTAGGCCTTCTCAAAGGCTCACTTTCTAAATCTACTTCCCCACTCTTTCCAACATGACAGGCAGGGACCTGTCACGTGGCTCCCTGACCTGGCTCAGCTCTGCAGTGGAGGCCGCCCAAAAGCTCAAAGCTGCAAGGAGTCGTGATTGACAAGCGGCTGCCCAGACAACCCTTTCAAATTTCAGAGGAAACACATCCGCTAGCTAGCAATTCCCTTCAGGGCTGACAGCTCTGGGGCTGGCGTCAATGGCAATAATAAGGGTAATACTGGCAATTGTTAGAGGAAGAAGACAAAAAGGAAAAAGAAATGGATTTGTGGAGGGAGCAGCCATAACAGTCACAAGGCCAAATCTTACCTAGGAAAGGAGGGAGGGCAGGACTGGAATAGCCAGGCCACATTCAGATCGGAGTCACAACCCCACCCCCACCCCCGTTTGGCTCCATCCACATGTTGCCCCCGCTGATTGCAAAAGGGTGAGGGCCATCTCGACCCTTCCCAACGTTGCCCACTCCTGCCTTCGTGGAAACATGTTCAGGCTACACCAATTAGTCCATTAGAAGCAAGTTAGTTCTAGGTAAAGCTCTGAGCCCTATTTCGTATCCGCTTACCTTCCATGGTCTATGGGGACTCGACTGAAAAATAGACATTAATCGGTTCGCAGAATGTACAGAAAAATCAAACAAAGGAGGGAAGAGGTTTCAGTTTGACCTCCTCCCAGGACTGGATTGTGTGGAAAAATCAAAGCAGGACGCCTTAGCTTGCTCTAAAGCAGTGGACAGGCCTACCCACCACAGGAGCTCAAAAACAGGGCAGGTGTGCAAATGTCATGGTGGAGCCGCCAAAGTCCATTAATTTATGCAAAGTTTCCAATATCAGCACAGAGTTTATGGCTCAAATCCAGAGGGTGACTTAGAATCACTCAAGTGGTTGTTGCTGGGTAGGGGAAGGCGTGAGGGATTGCTAAACTGGCTGGGAAACTGTTACAGAACACCGAAAAATGAAGATCACGTGACCACAGCATCAGCCCAGCAGAAACTAGTAGCACTGAAACAACCACAATTTCCACAAATTGTATTCCCTTGGGAGTCATGGGTCCTGGATTTGGGATATTCTGTAAGTTAGCCCACCTGAGGCACCTGGGTTCAAAAACTGTTGCCCTGTGATGCATCACCTTGCCCAGGAAAAGGTCATGACAATGAAAGTTTTAGTAAAATATAGTTTGAATTAAGCGTTGTATAGTACACCACTCAGAATCACTCTTCGTGAGATGGACAGCCACGTAAATTTGACAAAATATATAACATCCTGGTGAGATCTAACGCTAAATGAGCTGATGATTGAACTCTGCCCTCTATATTTCCCTCGTTTCAGAGTGGGTTGCTTCTAATCTAAAGCATATCTTCAAAAGACACAAATAGATTCTTGGCTTTTAAAGTACTTACGGGGTTGATGGAGGAATCAGGATTTATTTGCAGCGTGTAAATGTTATCAGTTGAATATTGGAAAAGCCCATAATATGGATTCAGCATTTCGTGGCATAGAAGGTACAGCCATTCCCTGCCGGACATAATTTTCAACAAGATTAGAAATGGTGGAGGGTGAGAAATGAAAGTTAAAAGTTTATTATTCCACTTCAAGAAATTGGATTAGTTTCCAAGTTGGTCTATGACAGTCTTAAGCTCAGCATCTTTAAGATATGTGGACCGGGGGAATGTTAGGAGTTGAAGTCCACACTTCTTAAAGTTGCTGAGGTTGAAAAATACTGCTTTATGAGACAGCATAAGACACGTTTGAAAAAGGCTGACTCCAGCTAGCAAAATTGCCACTTAAGAAAAGTATTATGAAGCAGAGTCCAGTCACAACAGCTTTTCTGGATCGTCCTTGCTCTCTTAAAGAAGGGCATTCAACAGGAAACAGAATAAGAACAGGCAATAGGAAGTTTGGCTTTTTTTTTTTTTTTTTGAAGAACTGTGAAGATTTTTTTTGTGGGAAGATGGTACCTGATGAGCTAAACACCTGAGATAATAGAATAGCTTCATTGCATAATGGGGATCTTCTGCCTACCCCACCCCCAAATCCAATGGAGACATCTGGTTAAGGCATGTTAGAGGATTCAGCTTCCGTCTAGACAGCACACATTTAAGTGCAGAGGAGATAAAGAGATGCTGAAACTCTTGCAAGACAGAGGGTGACAAGGGAGAGGTCAAAAGCTGGGAACTCCCAGACTAGAGAACAAAATTAAAGAGCAGTATCAATAGACAAAACAACAAAAAAAGGGGGGGGGCTTGTCCAGCAGCAATTTAAATGCTGATAGATTCAGCCGTCTGAATCCAGGAAATGAGTGCTCAAGATGATGCAAGGGAGCAATCAGCATTACAAGAGGATGTCAGGATGATATACAGCCATAATCTCAGGTGAGGTAGGTGGATCAAGAGACGCTTTTCCAAAACAAGTTAGAAAGTGTGGCTTGCCTAAGCATATGAGAGGCAAAGAGGTCTACTGCCACATGTTTCACATTTCAGAATTTGCAGGAGAGAAAGCAGGGTAAAAAGGAAGGAACTTTCTTTATGTCTATCCCACTGAACAGATTCAAACGTACAGTAATCAGCTTTGGTTTCTTTAAGTATGATTCTTATTGTGGGGCCCTTGGTGCTCTTTGAGTTTGATTGTTTTCTTGCAGATATTTCATTACCCAACTAGGTAACGTCATCAGTGCTAAAAGAATGTGGAGGAGGAGGAGGACTGTAGGATTCTTGGTGCTCTCTGAGCCTGCTTTTTTTCTTGTAGACATTTCATTACCCAACTAGGTAGTGTCATCAGTGCTACAAAGGAGTGGGGTTTGTGGAGAGGAGGAGGAAGAGGAAGAAGAGGAGGAGAAGGAAGATGACGAAGAGGAGGATGACTATGAGGTCCTTGGTGCTCTCTGAGCTTGGTTGTTTTCTTGCAGATGTTTCATTGCCCAACTAGGCTACATTATCAGTACTAGAAGAGAGAGGGGTTTGCTTCTGTATTTTAGGAAGCACCTATATAAGGGGCCACCAAGAACAACCTCAACGAACCAGCAGGAACACTTCCACCAATAAGCAAGCCAATAGTATATAAACGAAGACACACACACACGCACACACACACACACACACACACACACAAATACACCCCTAAAAATCCTAAAATCTCTTTTAGGATTCTGGCCTTTACCTTGCCACTCCACCATAATCTAAGCCTTCTTCTCCCCGAAATTTCACCATCAGCCTCTTCTTCAGGTCTTTTGGCCTCATCTTCATTATCTGACGGTAAGATTCCTACGCATAGAAAGAGAAACGCTTTTTTTTTTTAAAAAAAAAAATCTTTTTTATACGACGTGCCTCTTCCTGGCAAGCATAGGAAGCCCAGATCCCACTTCCTTGGGCTCCCGCTTACACACCTCAAATATTTCCTCCCTGGATACTTCGATGCGGCAGTGGCCAGCCTGGGGCTGCTGGAGGGAGAGTTCGTGCCGGAGGAACTTGAGCTTCTGCACCAGGTCCCGTTCGTATCTCTGAGCGGGCAGCTCCTCGCTGTCTTCCAGCGAGCCCTCGTTGGGGGCTTGCAAAGGCTGGTTGGATTCTTTTAGTTGGCATTGGTGACTTGGGTGGGGAAGGAAAAGGGGAGAGAACACATTACTTCCAAAAGCAGAAAGAAGTAGGAGGCATCAGGAGTGGGCCTGTTTATTTATTTATTTGAAGAATGCACGTGGCCTTCTCTAACCTTAGCAACTTTGAGACCTGTGGAATTCTGGGAGTTGGGGTCCACAGGTCTTAAGGTTGGAGACCCCTGCTCTAAAACTACAAGGGAGTAGCTCACAACAATAAAGCCGTGGCCTCTAAGAACCGTAAAACACAAGCCAAACCCAGGACCTCCATCATGCCTTTGGGATGCCTCATAATCAACTCCACACTGTATCCAGAGCCTGGGTAAAAAGGCAGCTCTTGATGAACTTGTGAAAAGCTAAAATAGGGGTGGGTGGGTGGGTGGGTGGGGTGAGTGTGTTTTCTATGGTGGAGGCAGCCACATCAGAAGCATGTTTCTGAGGTCGCCTTAGTGGGCGACATTTTAGGGAAGGGACCTAGAACATGCCTACCCTATCTGATCTGGTACAACAGGGAGATACTCTGGAGGGGATTCACTTGCCCTCCCCCCCAAATAACTTGGGTCTCCTGCCACATTTAGATGTGAAAACCAGTGTTCACAGGGTGATATGGGGGGGGGAGAGATTAATTTCTTGACAGCACCACGAAAGACAACACAGCCAAATGTTTCATTTCTTTGAAGCAATGCGGGGCGCCTTCTCGTCGGGTTGTTCCTGCAATTCCCCACCAGGTTACCTGCCTTAAAAATTACACAACCACAGGGATGATCCAAACCTCTAATAAGGGATGACAATGACATATTTCTGAGGGGAAGCCGTTATCACCTGTTAGAGCAGGCCTGGTGTCCCCAGTCGTATCTTTTAAAAGGTAATTAATGTATACTGGAATAAGACTGACTTAGCGTTCAAAATGGGAACAGCTTGTCGTCAAAAGCTTTCAACATACCTTCCTGGTTATTTCTGGTTCAACGTGTGCTCAATGGACTCTTGTTTTTAGGGCTCCCATAAAGGTATTAAATACTGCCTTACGCAGCCTACGGCTTCACTACCTCCATATTATATTCAGGGAGTCGTGACAGGACTAATCTTGCCCTCATTCTCAGCCTCAAAGATCAAGCAGCCACTTAAAGGCGACGTACTTCATTATGTGATGCAGTCTTGGGTCTGTGAACTGCGTGGTTCTGTTATTATGATCTACAAAATATATTCTTCCCGATACTGTACTTCTAACCTCCCAGCCTGGAGGCAGAGGTCCAAGCTCATCACAATTCACACTGTTAAGGTCTCTGCAGAAAAGAAAAAACAACAACAAAAAAAACAAAAGGAGGAGGAACAAGATTTAAGGACAGCATTATTTTAAATTATTTGAACGTGTCTACAGAGAAGGGTGGCCGTATAAATCTCCAAATCCGACAGTTTCACTTCCTGCAGACATTTAAGTGAACTCAAAAGCAGCCAATATACCTACCTTGGTATCCTGGGATCGTGCCAGGTGCTAACCCCAGTTTGTGTATGCAAAAAGTAAACTTGTCCCTGTACTGTTGTCCTTTGCTCTAAAGAGACAGAAAAGAAAAAAGAGGCTAATAGACAAAATGTCCAAATCCATCACAAAACTTTGTGACTAAAGCCAGACCTAGTAAAACGGAGCTAAATCTTTAGAACAGTAGTTTATTTGCTTCCCTTACCTTTGGAGAGTTTGCCATTGTTACAACAGGTACGAAAGGTCTTACGAAAAGTAACACAAAGGTCTTACGAAAAGTAACACCAAGAAGTGTATTGCAGTTTCCTTGAAATTTTAAAATTTATTTTTGTTTACTGCTCATTCAGAAACCTGGTGCTCTATTGCAAGGATCCCCAATCCCTGGACCAGCACCGGGCCGCACAAACAAGTGACGCCCCATCCGCGGGATGCAGACAGCACGTGAAACCAGGCCCCCTTTGGTCCATGGAAAAACCTCTTTCCATGGAACCGATCCCTGGTGCCGCTGCAATATTGGAGCAATATACTGTCTTGTTTGTCATTTGCATTTTATTGGGCGGCTGTTTTAGGAGCTGCAAAAGATTTGCCTTGTTGCCTCCCAACTTCCACGACAATCTCGTTTTAATACCGCTTTGCCAACAGACCATATGAAAAGTCCAGATGCAAAATCCTGATACATTCATTTGAGAAATACAACACTGACAGTGTTAAACTACCATCTAGCCAGCTCCAGGGGGGAAAAACCCTTCCTCTTATTCTGCCTCTTAGACAAAAGCCAATCGCACATCAATAAACATAAACATAAAACATAGAGCTAGGGTGTCAAGTGTAAAATCCCATAAAAGAGAAGTCACCAAAATGAAGCAATGCCACTTCTGGGTGCAAAACAGGACATAGAAAGTCTCTTCCTCCAAAATCCCATCTTTTTCTCTTTCTTTTTCTCTTCCTTTCTTTCTTCCTTTCTTCCTTTCTTTTTCTTTTTCTTTCTTTCTTTTTCTTCCTTCCTTCTCTTATATGCTACCTGTCTTGCTATGCAAAATGACTCTGAACAGCTTGCAGTGCCATAGAAAAAATATATAAGATTAATTACAAATATAAAAAAATAACTGAACCATTTGGTCTTGTCCTGGGATTGCCAGGAACCCTACCCAAACTCACCGTAGCCTTCAGGCAGATCGGGTGATGGCGACTGATGACCGTGGGGCCTATTTTGGGGGGTCTGGACATGGCTTCTTACATCAGGACCCCGCAATCGCTGGACCTGGAGGGTCTGATCCTGGCCAGGGGTTTCCGCGAACCTACAGTTCCCTCCGCCAGCAGCTCCTGTGCTGTCCGTATACGGGGCTGGCTCCTCCATGTAGCAGCTCAGGGGCCTCCCAGGTCCCGAGTCTTCATAAACCGTTCTGAAAGTAGGGAAACTTGTTCGGTGGACAGATTTTCAGACATCCCTAAGAAAGCGTTGGAGGAATCCTCCTTAGGGGAAGGGGCCCAGCCCTTCCAAGAAGACCTCACTCTCAGAAAGCCAAGAACCAAGAAAAATGTCTTGGAAGCCCAAAATGCAAATGACTCACAACTGCAAGGGACATGTGTGCCAAAGACTACATTTGCATTTATCTCTTAAGTGACCAGACTTCCTCCAGTGACTCAATTCACGATGATAAAAATGCTGAGGGAAAGCAATCTTACTTTTCGGCCCCCTTTCTTTGCTGCAACTAAAAGCTAAATTTAGCTTTTATTCTTAAATGGATAGAATATTTGCAGCTCAGGGAGGAATTGTGGGGGTCCTTGGTGCTGTCTGAGATTGGCTGTTTTCTTGAAGACGTTTCATGACTCAACTAGGGAACATCATCAGCACATGATGATGATGGAAATTTTATTTATTATTTAGCGTATGATGAGCACACGACAGAAAAGAAGTAAATATATGTACACAGTTTGCGATAATGGCGAATATCTACAGCTCGAGTATGGATCGGTTTCCAAATGTTTTATTACCAGGTTAGGTAACATCTTCAGTAGAATTCTTCGCTGACTCTGTCATCAACACTGACATCCCCTAAATGCTACTGAAGACGGTACCTAGCCCGGTAACAAAACGTTTGGAAACCAACCCACAAGCTCAGAGAACGAACCTCCACCCTCATGTATACACAGTCTATGAAATTATAAGTAAAACATCTATGGGGATATGGCAGTGGCCTCATAACTGGATCATCGAACGGAATTAGGGGTGATACTGGAAGAAGTGCCTATCCAGGTGATCGCCTCTAGGGCTGCTTCGCACAGATCTTCTGGGGAACCAGACAGCGCACGTGGTGGGCCATCTTGCGCAATATGTTTAATAGCTTGCATATCTGCACCACAATCGCAACAAGAGGGAACTTTCCATCCCCGCCGATGAAAGGCAGAGGCACTTCTTCCAGTATCACCTCTAATTCTGTTCAGTTTCGACCAGGCAAAGCGAGGCGGTTTGGAAATGAAAGGTCTGCAAGAAGACAAACCAAGCTCAGAGAGAGCATCAAGGACCCCACAGTTCTGAAACTGGCCAGAAGAACGGGATACCTACCCTTCATTCTCCAAGAGCCCCCTGCAGTCTACCACAGACCCTCCTGTGCCTATCCTGTCTCGTGTCTGTAGGCTGACTGGAATGAGAAAAAAGGAGAAACAAAAAATGCAAACGTTTCAGTATACAAATAAAAGACAGCAATTAAAATATAAAAACATCCTGGGATGTGGTTTGCTTTGACGTGGCAAGCATTTGTACATTTTATAGACTCTCAAGCATTTGGATACGATCCACATGCAGAGTCCCTTCCTAGCAAGGCAAGTCTGAATACTTTGCTGGGATAATTTGGGTCTTAAGAGGCAGCGCCTTTTCGTATTCTAGTAATTCAATCTTTATTGACAAAAAGGAAAAAAGGAAGAATATAATAAGCCCTCTACTCCTAGTGCATCCTTAAAATTTCAGGAATTAAGACCACTACCAATGAAAAACAATTAACAAAGCATTCACAGCACAATAATTTAGACTACAATCTATATAATACTTTGGCTAAAACCCCAAAGCCTTCCATATTAACATGCAATTGCAAAATTCTTTTCCCTCACAAGAGCATAGAGAGCAAATTTGTCACACTAGGGGGCAGTCTAAAAGGGAAGACATTTTTTTACCACCTCAGTCATACTAATCTTCAATAAAGATATTCTGCTTGTTATAGCCGGAGTTGAACGAACACAATAGCTATATTTTATGAGCTGTTCAGATATTCCTTCTCACCAACTATCTGGCCTCGGACTGCATCTGTGTCTGTAGGATTTAGTTTGCATAGATCCAAACGCTGGTCTGAAACGAACAACGGGGAGAAAAATTCACCCGAGAATATATACAATCGGGAATCGGTGTTTAGAACAGAGACACAAAATATTGCCCAAGCCAACCCAGAAAACATTTTGCAATAAAGATGTGCTTACATCCCGTATCTTTTAGCCTGCTGATAGCGTTGGAAAGAAGTCGGACGCATCCCAGGAAGCCAGCTCCCTGTTTTTTGTGAATTTTCTTATGATTCCAGACACTGATGGTGATAGAATCTGATTTTCCAACATATCTAGAATAATCAGTTGGAGGAGGATGTTTAACTGAGGTTTTTCTCTCTCTGCTATGGTATAACTTTCCCATTTGTGAACCCATTTGAATAATGCTTTGGTTACACTACGTCTTTATCAAAGAAGAGAAACATGCAACTAATCACTAGATTACTGTAATTTGCACAGCATGTTAAGTAGATAATACACAAACATTTGTTAATTGCAGACAACCTTATTATAAACTACAAAGTGAAGAGCTCATTAGACTAAGGAAAGGCTGCTTTTCCGAAAAACTGGAGTTGCTGCATCAAGGCTCATTTTTGTACTATGACTACATAGGACAAGAGGCATCTTCTGTTGCTAACAGCCAAGGAATTACGCAAGGATTTCTAAAAAAGCAATACAGGCTTTCATTTCTGGAATTCAGAAGCCAGACAAGATGCAATGTTTTCAAGCGAGGGGCTTTCAAAAGTACATTAAGTCACTTGGGCACACTTAGAATAAGTGTCTTGGAGTCTAGCCGATATCTCAACTCACAAGCCCCAAAATTAAGTCTCGCAAATTATTACACAAGAACATTCTCTAACAAAACATACTAATAATCATCCCTGGGGAGTGGGCATTGCCTCAATATTACTTTGGATCAGCACTGCTAATATAAAGCCTTTTAGACGGCCAGTTGTGTAAGAGAGGAGACATAGAAGGTTATTTTATGGACTATTTTGGAATTGCTTTCTTAAGTTTGTTCGGTAGCCTACTTGCATTCACTGTGTTATTTCTCTTTTGCTGTAAGTTAGCGTGGGCTTTGGTTCCTAGGTACAGATCAAGGTTGTAAATACTTCATGTAAATAAAGAGGTAAGGAACGAGGACTCTGTCTTGGAACCCACCTCAGTGAAATGGGTGGCATAAAAATGTAATCCTTAAAAAATGCATGTGAGAAAAAAAAAATAAAACCTCATGCTGAACAGGCAACTTACAAATCGTAATGCTGGTTCCATTTGGGATCTAAAGTGTTCTTCACAGTGTCGGTGGAATGACACTGACCAGACCCATCCACCACAATCTTTGCAAAAGGATCAGGAAGCCCTGCAAAGAACAAAGACCAATGAAACTTGCAGATGGCTGCCAAACCACAATGTTTAACTGCTCTCTTGTAATTGTGAGAAGACAGTTGCTGGGAATACAGAGGATTTTCTGTCTGGTAAAGTTTCTCTTACTGTAGAAGAGGTAAAGCATGGTGTATAAAACACACAGAGTGTGAGCCAAATGCGGCTACTCAGACTTATTTTAGTGGCCTCCTGGATGAAGGCCTTAAACCCCCTCGCCAAAGACCCCACACCAAGGGCAATGTTGGATCCAGTCAACTTTTGCTGTGCTATACTAGATGGCCCTTGATTTAAAAGCGGCATGCCTCTGGAAGAGAACACGAATTTCCCGTGAAGTTCAGTCTAACTAATTCCACGATGTGCTATTTTTAAAGTCCCCTGAAATGCTGAAAAGTGCAACTAAGCCTTTTCCGGGTTTCTAATGTATGATCTTCAACGTGTCACACCAGGCCTGTCAGTGAAAAGAACCTGCAACGGTGATTCCCCCCCCCCCCCGTTAATTCAGTGTGACTTGATCTGCCATCTCACAAGAGGAGATATTTACCGTGCCTTACAGCGCCTCACCCAATTTAGAAGGGAGAGAGTGAGCATGAGCAGAAATGTATTTGCTGGCAGCCGTCAGAGTCAAGATCTGCTTTAAGCAGCTCGCAGCAAAAAAGATCACGCTGGCTGCTTCGTGGTCTGGTGAATATAAATTTCAGATAGTTATGCTTCTGACTCTCCAGAAACTTTCCTTAAATGCCCTCAACTAGAAACATGGAAGAAAATAATTAACCTCAGCAGAATAGTTTCAATATGCACAAAGGATGGGATGGGGAGGTATGAAAAAGTATATATAGAGATTTCCAGTTACTTACTGAAGAAATCTTTCTTTGCAAGATTCTTGGCACAAAGCACTGCAAGAAAAAGGAAAAGGTTAGCAGATTCCACTCATATTTCAGCATAAACAGCTCAAGCTGGGAAAAGATTTCTCTTACACACCGCAGGGCACAATTTATAAAAAGCTCAGAAACTAATACAATTGGACTAATAAATAGCAGTGTTACGTTCGGTTATTTTCATGAATTGCACAGCACATATTTTCCCAAACCTGCCTTTTGCCTTCTAATTCATTTATATGGAGAAACTGTGGAAAGTTCATTCGTTGTACTAGGAACTCTTTTTAAAACTGGCCATTTTAAGAATTCAGAAATGGTTAGGCTTAGGTGATCAAATTAAAACCCGGTTGAGTTTCAAACATTTCCCAGCCGGTTTTGTGGTTTTTACTAGCGTTTTTAAAAAGTTATTCCTCCAGCAAAAGGGCTTGACACTTAGGTATTATCACAGGGGTGCTATTCTTAACACAAATGTTAACAGAAATTCAGAGGCTTGGTAACTGGCTCATATTTATGACAGCTACATTGTCCTAGGGCCGTGTGATTGGCTTTTGAATGGAATGGAATGGCATGGAAAGAATAGAATAGAATAGAATAGAATAGAATAGAATAGAATAGAATAGAATAGAATAGAATAGAATAGAACAATAACTTTATTGTCACTTTGAACGTACACCACTCAGCATACATCAAAATGAAATTTCTTGCATGCAGCTCTCAAAGGGCCACCACCTCCAGTATACACTCCTTGTTTGGGGCCAGCTCAAGTTTCAGATTGTCCATTTTAGTCTCTAGATAGCAAACAATGGCAAACAGGACAGATGGAAAACGGAGCTCCATGTGGATTAGCCCTCAAATTAGCTTATATTCCTGCAGGACAACCTCGCCTCCTTTCCTTTTTCTGATTCTGTCTCTTCCAAGATCAGGCCTCGCTCCTTTTCGCCCCTGGAGCACGCTGCTGCCTCTGGGCCTGCCGACAGCCTCCTCCAGTTCTTCACTCCATAAGCTCCCGGGACCTCTCCTCCTTAGCCTCCATGGGAAACAGCCCTGATTTGCAATAGAAACCGTCGCTGGGCCAGCAGCCCGATCTTGCTGCCGGCAGAACAATTTCAAACAGCGTCAACGACTCTTAACGGCCTCACCAACGGTTCCGAAACAGCTCAAAACTCGCTATGCCAAAAGCAAAGAGTGTCGGTCATATGTTAGCTCGGTCCCACTACATTGCTCAGGTGGCCTCTATCCCTTTTCACCTTCGAGAGCCAAGGCAGCCGTAGCCGATCCAGGCACCGCCATCTTAACTCCGGGTCCCCAGTCTCTGCAACCTTCTGACAAACAAAATCAACGGGAAATGCAGATTCACTTAACAACCGTGTTACTAAATTAACAAACGCAAGGATTCCCTTAACAACTGGGGCAAGAAAATAGAATAGAATTCTTTATTGGCCAAATGTGGTCGGACACACAAGGAATTTGTTTCCGGTGCATAAGCTCTCAGTGTACATACAAGTAATAAGTGGTAACCGTGATCACAGAAAAGTCGTAAAATGGGGTGAAACTCACTTAATGTTTCCCTTAGCAACATAAATCTTGGTCCTGCAGGTCAGTTACCTGTACTACAATGCCCTTATTTTTGCGATGTACTTTTAAAGAGTTTCTTGCTAGAATTTAATGACAAAGAACTCCGATTTCTAGCAGGCGCTCATGATAGGAAGTTCAGAGGCTGTACTTGTACATGCATGAGCAAGCACATCAATAGGAACATAAAGAACACTTTGAAAGCTAAGAGCAAAGGTTTGTTTAATCAGAAAATCCATTCTAGTACTGCTCTGTCAAATACACCCAGTAGCTGCCAACATCTGGCCTTTAGAAGTGAACCCTGAACACGAAGGGTTCATTTATACAACAAAGTCAATACTAAGGGCCAAAACAAGCCATCCTCTCCCGTTTAGAGGAGTGTGACAACAGGGTTTAAGCTCCATCTGAATGATCCAAAGTACTTCCTCCATTTTTAAGGAAAACTTTCGTTCCTCGAAACCTGTCGCTACGTGAAGAAAGGAAAAGACTGGTTAAATAATTAAAACTATGCCAGGTGTTTGAAGGAGAGTTTTTGGGCAAAAGAATGTGTAGCTGAAAGGAATGGTGTCTCCTTCCTGCTTCGCATTAGGTTTCCTTAAATTCCACTTTATTTTTTTTCTTCCACTGAGCCTATTTTTGCTATCAGGGTTTAGTTGGGATGACAAAATAAATCTGACCGGCTAAGACTCTGGGCCGAAGCCAACACAGTGAAATGTAACAGAAATTAAAAGTTCTGCATTTAGATAGCAAAAAAAAAAAAAAAAAAAACCCAACCCAGGCACAAGAGATGTTTGGCTTGGCAAAGGTGCGTATGAAAGAAGGATAGAGATGTCGAGCGAGTCGCAAAGTGAACAACAGCCAGCAGTGCGATGCCAAGTACAAAATAAGTTCAAGACATCTTAAGTTGCTTTAAGAGAGTTAGCTCCATTCTGTAATGCAGAGTTAGGCTACGACTGGAGAACCGTGTCCAGCTCTGGATGAAACATCGTAAGAAAAAGACAGAACAAGTGAGACCCCTTGTAGATGGACGAGTAGGATAACAGAAGATGTAGAATTGAAATGTTACGAAAAACAGTTGGAAGAGCTGGCTATATTTAGCCTAGAGAAGAGAAGATTAAGGGGCTGATAGAACAGCTGGGCAGAGATGATCCATTCACCTTCGCTGGAAGCATTTAGTGAGGATCGCTCCTTAGTGGTGCTGCCTTCCCGATATTCCCGTCAGAGGTTGGGCTGGATGAAATCCGAGGCCACTTTCAATTCTACACTTCTCTGGCCGCTGATAGGCCACAGAAAGCGAAATCATCAATTGGGAAACGATTAGCCCAAGATTTTCAATTACACATGACTAGGCTAGAACTTTAAACGGTAGGATCTGCTGCAGCCATACAGGCAGTCCTCGACTTACAACCACAATTGAGCCCAGAATTTATGTTGCTAAGGGAGAAATATTGTTGGGTGAGTTTCACCCCACTTTAGGACTTTTCTTGCCGTAGTTGTTAAGGGAATCAATGCAGTTTGTTAAGTTAGTGACACGGTTGTAAAGTGAATCTGACTTCCCCATGGAACGTGACCACGGGATACAGCGACCGGCATAAATATGAGTCAGTTGCCAAGCCTGTGAATTTTGATCACATGACAATAGGGATGCTGTAACAACGATTGTAAGTCATTTTTAGTGCCGTTGTAACTCTGAACGGTCACTAAACAAACAGTTATAAGTTGAGGACTACCTGTATCTAGTTTAGCCTCTCAAGTGGCCAGAAAGAAAAACAACAACACAGTACTGTATCCTAGTTACTAGATCACATTAAAATAGTCCAGAGCTGGATTTTTTTCATCTCTAAAGAATCTGCAATCTCACATTTTTTCCCCCTCGTCATTCAATTATTACAGAAATAACACATCTTTGGCAGGAATACCTAAACACAGGAACATTAATTTGACTGCTTCATGAGATCTGATTGTGGTTCAGTCAAAACAGAACTGTTATTTCTTTTATTCATATTTTATCAACTGCAAGCCAAGAATGAACCAACAGATACTTCATTTCCTCAAGATAGAATTACAAAGTTTGATTCCTTACAAAAGCAATCGCCCACTGAGTGCCCTCAACATAACCCATACTTCAATTTCCAGAATTCCCAATCAACATGGATTTTACCTTTACATTTTGCAAATTGTGAGAACTCCAGGGGGAAGAGCTCTCGACAATCACTGGGTATGCAGTGGGGAAATGTTATAAAGCCATATGCTCATTTTATGAAGCACAATCTGTTTGGATCAACGGTGTTCGTGTAATACTTCCCTAAATTCCCACAGCAAAATCACAATTTGCTGTATGCTCAGAGAAGGCCAAAACACTATCAGTTATTGCCACTGGGTGCATACACACCATACCACAAGGTTTACTTTCATCATAGTATAAGCTAGCTAAGAACCACTGCAAGTTAGAGAGCTAGAGAGGAAAAGAAAAAAAAAACAGTCAAATAACACGTAACTCAAGATTGCAAAAATTCTGTTGGGACATCTGCAAGATGCTTCAACAATCTCATTGTTCCAGGGAAAGAAATTTCTGCTCTTTGCAGTAATGGAAGAGAAGCAAAAAAGAGACTGCCTTCCAACCCTATTATTTTATGTTTTATGAACTCTGAAGCACCATAAGGAATTAGAGAAAGGTTTTAGAAAGGTAGCCAATATCAACAAGTTATGCTAACAACTTGTCAGCCACAACTGATCAGGATAGTCTTTGTTTCTAAGCAAATCACAGGTTTTATTCCATACATTCAACACTGAACTAAACCATCCTCACCATTTAATTCCAAGGCTCAACAAGACCTATAGGAACAAATAGCTCAACAGAAAATGCAGATATTTTCTCCTTCCAACAAAAATAAACATGTACATCATTAGAGGAGCCAGAATGATCAAACCACTTTATCATCCCAAAAGCAAGTCTAAATAAACAATCTCTTATGTATGCCAAGAAATTCTTGTTATCAAAAACATCCGGCTGGTGATACAGAGATGGAAGAAGGGAAGATGCCTGAATAAAACAATGCATTCAGGATATTATTCCTCCCAAATTAAAACCAACACCCGTCATTAATGCAGTCGGCTAGACTCATAGATGACAATTTCTCTTACAGGCAATTAATGAACATCCATCTTGTGGACAGAAGTGATTTTTTCAGGAGACTAAAAGGACTGATCTTTACTTCTCATTGCCAAAGGTAATTGACGTACATTGGACTGACATCAGAACCTATTGCCAATTTCTATCCAGCCCTGGGCCTTAAACTTAATGTTTTGTACCTCTGTAGCTATCCAAAATGCTAACATTATCTGTAATAATCTTAAAGGCAGTATTAGTCCTCCTGAATAGTATCAAGGACTTTATCCTGTCGTATATGCTGCAGACATAAGTGGTTGGATAAGTGGGCGTAAAA